TTCACAGAAAAATGAAAATAATTCTGGCTGCCTTTATAGTCAATATAGTGAAGTATACCTCGATAGTCTAGCTTTAAAGTTAAAACACCAAAAAACTTACTGACAAAAGAAAATAGTCAATTTGATTAGTTTTAAGTCAGTCAAACCTGTCACAACCAATGTACAATTCCAAAACATCAAAACAAATCATTCCCTAACTCCTACAGGTACTGTGTAACATGTACAATACTGAAATTAAAAAGATTTAACAAATGCTACATCAATTTTGTATGACGTCTATTTATCATGAATGACACTCCATGTGAAAAATCAAAATAAGTCAAATATCTCAAAAGGGTCCCTCTCAAATTCTGGAAAAATCTACATTATCTGAATGTTAACTATGTGTTTAATATATCACCATAATTACAACATGGTCCACATTCAATTATCATGTTTTCAGTAACTTTGTTCTCTTTAAAAGAGACACTGTCTAGAATCTGTCTATCTGTATGTGAAATAACATCTGATCATGTTGACTACTTACATAAGCATTTCAACCTCCTAACATTCCAAACAACCAGATTCATACATTAGCATAACAAATGATAGTGAAAAAAAACAGGATAATTATGTACTACTAACATAACTTTGAATTATAATCCAGTCATGTCATATTTTTCAACCAAAAAAAAAATTTCTGTTAAAGATCAAGTGCAATAAGATCAACAAGATCAAGGTTAAGGTCACTGTCCTTTTGACCTTCACCTTTCACACTAGCTGTTGATGACCTTGAGATGACTCTGAAAGTTAATGACAATGACAATTGATGACAACCCCGGACCCAGACACAGACAACCCCGGACCCAGACACATACAGCTCCTATACACAGTGATGTGTAGTCCCCACTATATAACACTAGTACAGCCTCCATTTTGTACACCTCACAGCACACAAAATGGCTGCCTTTATAGTCAATTCAGCAGAGTATACCTTGATAGTCTAGCTTCAAAGTTAAAACACAAACAAACTTACTGACAAAAGAAAATAGTCAATTTGATACAGTTTTAAGTCAGTCAAACCTGTCACAACCAATGTACAATTCCAAAACATCAAAACAAATCATTCCCTAACTCCTACAGGTACTGTGTAACATGTACAATACTGAAATTAAAAAGATTTAACAAATGCTACATCATTTTTTTGTGTAACATGTACAATACTGAAATTAAAAAGATTTAACAAATGCTACATCAATTTTGTAAGATACATATTTATCATGAATGACACTCCATGTGAAAACTCAAAATAAGTCAAATATCTCAAAAGGGTCCCTCTCAAATTCTGGAAAAATCTACATTATCTGAAAGTTAACAATGTGTTTAATATATCACCATAATTACAACATGGTCCACATTCTATTATCATATTTCCAGTAACTTTGTTCTCTTTAAAAGAGACACTGTCTAGAATCTGTATCTATGTGAAAGTTAAGTTAGATTTAATCATGTTGACTACTAACATAAGCATTTCAACCTCCTAACATTCCCAAACAACCAGATTCATACATTAGCATAACAAATGACAATTAACAAAAACAGTAAAATGATCTGCTACAATATAACTGAAATATAATCTAGTCATGTCATATTTTTTAACCATAAAAATTGTTTTTCTCTCTAAGTTCAAGTGCATTAAAATCATCAAGATCAAGGTTGAGGTTACAGTCACTTCGACCTTGACCTTCTTTCACACTTCTTGTTGATGACCTTATGGTGACCCTGAAAGTTAATGTCAATGACAATAACAACTCCAGACCCAGACATGTATAGCTAGTATACATAGCACTGTGTAGTACCCACATATAACATTAGTCCAGTCTCAACTTTGTACACCTCACAGCAGACACAAAATGGCTGCCTTTACAATCAATATTGTAAAGTACACCTACCTGACTAGCTTAAATTTAAAAATGAAAACATATCTAATAACAGAAATATTACTACACTTGATCATAATTATGCAATCAGTCTATCTTTCAAAAATTTCACAAATTATCCCACACATCCAAGTGCTACAAACATGGCAATAAACACTGAAGAGCCAAAGACTGAAAATATCTAAGAGTGATTTGTTTGACGTAAGATCATAGCATAATGCATTGTTACACAATAGAATACCATTCCATGTATCAAAGGAAGTAAAATATCTTAAATTACCGAAAGTAATATCCGCCTTAAGTCAACTGCATTCTGAAGATACAATTACTGCATTGTCCACATTCAATTCATCATGTTATTAGTAATGTTTCCCTTCAATCATCTAGATTGTGTGCCAGTACTGTAACTTGGATCATGTTGATTAGTTGCTAACTAACTAGTGCATCTCCTAGTATTCCAAATGAACTCCCATACGCAATAAAGATTTGTGAAATAGAAATGTATTACTACCTACACTAGTACAGTATATGTTATGTAAAAATGAACATGTTCTTTTTCCTTTTTTTTTTAACAATCATCAGGAACACCCATGAATCCTGTACCACAAGAGTCACAGATTTACTTATAATATATACTCTACACCATTTTTGGGTTATTCTATTTGTAATTCACTTCAGTGAAAAGCTTAACATAAAGCAGCAAAATTAGATACAAACTGACATTTGCAGTCATTACAAAGTTTTGAATAAGATAACAGAAAGTAAAGATAGTCCAAGCCGTCTTGTTGCCATAATTCAATAGAACAGCTAATAATAGTGCACAATACATCAAATGAATACAGGAAGACAGGGGAAATAATACAGCTAGTCATTTGAAGCCAGGAAGGAAGGGGAGATAATACAACTCATCCTTTGCAGTCTATGTTGTATTCCATTTGTTTTCAAATCAATGTGCTGATTAAAACTGCATTCTTTGCAGAGAAAGGTAAACATTTGAAGCCTGGCATTCAGCACAACTGTCAAGACATTGTGTCAGGATGGAAATGACAGGTTTTTACAGATCAAGAAAGGATAACTCTATATTCATTATATTGGAATATAATATTAAATATGGACTAAAATGTAGCAACAATTCTTCCAGTATAAGTGAAACAATTCACCTTAATATATGTTACTTTACAAAATTTTGAAACACATCTATTTTATATTGAACCTGATTTCGTTTTTGTCTTTTCTTTAATTTTCAATTAATAAAATCATAAAATGTAGCTCAAGTTTGAAATCATGATTTTATTATATATTTAGCTTCCTCTTGTTAAACTTACATCAGCTATGTTTAATCATACTAGATACACTTGTTTTTTTCAGAAAGAAGTCATATTCAATATTTCACTCATTTTCAAATCAAACAATGATTTTGGAGGTCTGACTGGTAGTCTTCCACACTACCATTTAGCAATCCTTATTTGCAGCATAAGTCCTAGATTTACACAGGAATACTATGTTAAATAAACTTAATACCACTTGAAACTCTTCATATCAATGAAACATTACTTAAAACTGCATGGTCACCCATATATACAAAAAACTAACATTTATTGTATCTCTTACAATTCTCAACATAAATAACAGAAATTCAGCATCTTTGTATCTGCTCAATATGAGATTGAATCAGGTCTGTGTAATACTACATGTAGCTTAGAATACATAGTATTTACTTATGGAGATCAAAATAATGACAAAAAAATGCATGCATATACCTTTCTTTCCATAACAAACTGTGACATTTCATACCAATTTGCACTGCAGTACTCTTAATTAGAACAACCAACTCTTTATGTCTGTCAGTTTGTCCAGCCATGCTTATGGCCTGCAACTCAAAGGTGAATTTAAGCCACAATACATATCCCAGTGCTATTAAATAATATCCTGCTTTAGTAATTCTGAGCAAATGTTATGTAAATGGGTTTCCTTACATTCTGTTAGACATTTTTAGTTTAGTCTTCTCCAACTTGCAACTTCTTGGGTGGAGAGGGGGGGATGATTATAAGCATTATCATTAACTTTTGCTTTATATAGCAAATAACAGCCAATGTTACTATAACCCATACAACAGCATTTAATAGGACTAAATACAAAGCACACATTTTCCACCACCCAAATGGTAACATTTTCATAAAATTCTACTTTATCACAGAGATGAACATCAAGAAACATCTTTTTCCCTATTTCTGAATTACTACTAATACTTAAATCTAACATAATAATATCTAATAGTTGTGAGATGAGTGTAACATTAGGCAATGTTTTGTTGCAATCAGTTAACAAGATAAACATGCAACTTTCAAAACAAAACAAATAAATATGCAACAAAACATTGAAAAATAGCAGAAAAACACATAAAAATCATTACAACCTTACTTAATACTATGCAAACTGTACAAATACATTTCAACAGGAATAAGTGCATAAATAGCCCCAAATTCATTAAAAATAATTCCTGTGATTATACAATCATAATGCGAATGATCAGGAAATATACAGAGTCCAAAAACACATGAAAATTGCAAAAATGGGCCTGTTGATAAATAGAGAAATTTCAAGGTCATATGAAAGGCATGCGTGTGTAGGACATTTTAACACAAAAATAATCATGAAACACATCCAATTATGATATTTTACACTATAATTCTTGCCGCTAGCCTGAATACAAATGTCAGAATCCCGTATACAGGTGAAAGAGGGTACACTAAAACCTTCGCAAAAAATACACATTATGTATCATTGACACGCATAGTAAATGCTTCAAAGTAATAAGCGAAACTTGACGAATATGAATACAAATGAATCAAGCTCAAAATATATGCTATTTGTAACGGTATCAGCGATTAGATCCGAGCCTTGATGCAAAAGTTGAAAAAATCAACATGGCGGCTGTTGATCGGCGGCGAGATTTCATCACAATTTCCCATCGAAAATACAATATTTTACTTAAAAACACTGCTGCAAAACCAAACATTAAGTATAAATAAAACTAATCATGTAACATTGAAATTTATTAAGTACCCAAATAGTACAAACCTTGCTCATCTTGAGTCATGTAGTCTCTTCATCTTCAACTGTCTAGTAGCGGCCCAACAAAGGCGAATCGAACAAAATTCCTTGCTAATCACGTGTCACTGTCGCTCTTGCTCACGTCATAAATTGTGCATAAACAATTTGCAACATAAATAGAACGACGGCATCAATTTTAACCTGCAAATTACAAACAGAACATAAAATTACAGTAATATCTGCCATCAATATGCGATTTCTTACCAAAACATTTATATTTGCAGGTTTTCACGAAAACAAAGTGTTGTCGATGAATATCGAGTAAAATTTCAACATTAAAAGAAAATGCGAAATGAATCTAAGACCGCTCAAACGCATACTTACAGCAGTTTCGCCCCAAAAACATTTCAAAGATACACATAACTAAGATATTTTCCTGCTGTATTCTCCAAGAATAAATAGTCAATATGGCCGCCATTTTCCGTGCAAACTAACAAATTTGCATCATGGGATATCGTGATTTTTTTGCCATGCTGATTTTCAAATTAAGTCACTGTGTGGCTTAATAAATATTTTTCCTGGACTACTTTACAAATTTGGAAAATTTCCATCAAAGTAATTATATAAATAATATTTATGTCACAGATAGCACAAAAAATATTCATTCGCCGCTTGTTTTATTCTTTGAAAATATAAATAATCTTTCACCAATGCGAGCCATAGGTTTCGTAGTGTAGTGGTTATCACGTTCGCCTCACACGCGAAAGGTCCTGGGTTCGACCCCCAGCGAAACCAATTTTTTGTGATGTGTTTTTTTTTCTGTTTTGTAAATATAGTGACGACTAAGCCATAGAAAGAATAAACGTGTCTGCATTAATTAACAATATAGCTTTTCAACAGATAATTGAATTGTTTGGATTCTTTTGAGAGAAGACTGTAGCCTGCTGTCTAATCCTTGATCTAATCTAATTGATTGTTTAAATCAATACAATATTCTGAAATGAAAAAAAGGACCAATGGTTCTGATCCCAATACATGGTGTACAACGTTTATAAAGCATTTCATTTAACAACAAACAATATATGTATATTTGTTGTCTTTATTGTCAATAATTCTGGGTCTGGCACTTTTCTATGGTCGCAAACAGAAGCATGTTGAAGCTAAGGTACTGTATTTGTTGTGAGCTATCAGCTGTGATGTTGATGGATGGTCATAGCCAAACTGCTGTCGCGCAGCAATTTGGCATTGCCATGTGTACAATTAACCATCTCTATACACATTTCCATGCTACTGGGTTAGTTTCCGATTGTCCCAGGAATGGTCGTCTGCATTTGATGACCACATGACAGGGCGATTCGTTTATCGCATTTATACAACAGATTCAAGACTGCTGTAGAGACTGCATTGTATACCTAAGGTACTAATGGCAGACCCACCAGTACTCAAACTGCCAGGAACCACTTGCATGCCAAGAGAGTCATTGCACGCCAACCTTGTGTTGAGCCACCTCTGACACCAAGGATGGGGCAAGTGCATCTTGACTCGATGCGCAGATATCACCTGAATACATTTGTGATATTCACCAACCAGTCTTGATACAGACAGAAGAAAAAGGGTATATTGCAGACCACTGGGACCTTGCTGTAGGGTCAGCTGACTGATACATCACTGGGACCTTTCTGTAGGGTTAGGGTCAGCTGACTGATACATCACTGGGACCTTGCCGTAGGGTGAGGGTCAGCTGGATGATATCTCACTGGGACCTTTCTGTAGGGGGAGGGTCAGCTGACTGATACATCACTGGGACCTTGCTGTAAGGTGAGGGTCAGCTGACTGATACATCACTGGGACCTTGTTGTAGGGTCAGCTGACTGATACCCCACTGGGACCTTGCTGTAGGGTGAGAGTCAGCTGGATGATATCTCACTGGGACCTTGCTGTAAGGTGAGGGTCAGCTGACTGATACATCACTGGGACCTTGTTGTAGGGTCAGCTGACTGATACCCCACTGGGACCTTGCTGTAGGGTGAGAGTCAGCTGGATGATATCTCACTGGGACCTTTCTGTAGGGGGAGGGTCAGCTGACTGATACCTCACTGGGACCTTGCTGTAGGGTGATGGTCAGCTGACTGATACATCACTGGGACCTTGTTGTAGGGTGAGGGTCAGCTGACCGATACATCACTGGGACCTTGTTGTAGGGTGAGGGTCAGCTGAGTGATACATCACTGGGACCTTTCTGTAGGGGGAGGGTCAGCTGACTGATACCTCACTGGGACCTTTATGTAGGGGGAGGGTCAGCTGACTGATACCTCACTGGGACCTTGCTGTAGGGTGAGGGTCAGCTGACTGATACATCACTGGGACCTTTCTGTAGGGGGAGGGTCAGCTGAATGATACATCACTGGGACCTTGCTGTAGGGTGAGGGTCAGCTGACTGATACATCACTGGGACCTTGCTGTAGGGTGATGGTCAGCTGACTGATACATCACTGGGACCTTGTTGTAGGGTGATGGTCAGCTGACTGATACCTCACTGGGACCTTGCTGTAGGGTGATGGTCAGCTGACTGATACATCACTGGGACCTTGTTGTAGGGTCAGCTGACTGATACCCCACTGGGACCTTGCTGTAGGGTGATGGTCAGCTGACTGATACATCACTAGGACCTTGCTGTAGGGTGAGGGTCAGCTGACTGATACATCACTGGGACCTTGCTGTAGGGTGATGGTCAGCTGACTGATACATCACTGGGCTTGCTGTAGGGTGAGGGTCAGCTGACCGATACATCACTGGGACCTTTCTGTAGGGTTAGGGTCAGCTGACTGATACATCACTGGGCTTGCTGTAGGATGAGGGTCAGCTGACCGATACATCACTGGGACCTTTCTGTAGGGTTAGGGTCAGCTGACTGATACATCACTGGGACCTTGCTGTAGGGTGAGGGTCAGCTGGATGATACATCACTGGGACCTTGTTGTAGGGTCAGCTGACTGATACCCCACTGGGACCTTGCTGTAGGGTGATGGTCAGCTGACTGATACATCACTAGGACCTTGCTGTAGGGTGAGGGTCAGCTGACTGATACATCACTGGGACCTTGCTGTAGGGTGATGGTCAGCTGACTGATACATCACTGGGACCTTGCTGTAGGGTGATGGTCAGCTGACCGATACATCACTGGGACCTTTCTGTAGGGTTAGGGTCAGCTGACTGATACATCACTGGGACCTTGCTGTAGGGTGAGGGTCAGCTGGATGATACATCACTGGGACCTTGTTGTAGGGTCAGCTGACTGATACCCCACTGGGACCTTGCTGTAGGGTGATGGTCAGCTGACTGATACATCACTAGGACCTTGCTGTAGGGTGAGGGTCAGCTGACTGATACATCACTGGGACCTTGCTGTAGGGTGATGGTCAGCTGACTGATACATCACTGGGACCTTGCTGTAGGGTGAGGGTCAGCTGACTGATACATCACTGAGACCTTTCTGTAGGGGGAGGGTCAGCTGAATGATACATCACTGGGACCTTGCTGTAGGGTGAGGGTCAGCTGACTGATACATCACTGGGACCTTGCTGTAGGGTGATGGTCAGCTGACTGATACCTCACTGGGACCTTGCTGTAGGGTGATGGTCAGCTGACTGATACATCACTGGGACCTTGTTGTAGGGTCAGCTGACTGATACCCCACTGGGACCTTGCTGTAGGGTGATGGTCAGCTGACCGATACATCACTAGGACCTTGCTGTAGGGTGAGGGTCAGCTGACTGATACATCACTGGGACCTTGCTGTAGGGTGATGGTCAGCTGACTGATACATCACTGGGCTTGCTGTAGGGTGAGGGTCAGCTGACCGATACATCACTGGGACCTTTCTGTAGGGTTAGGGTCAGCTGACTGATACATCACTGGGACCTTGCTGTAGGGTGAGGGTCAGCTGGATGATACATCACTGGGACCTTGTTGTAGGGTCAGCTGACTGATACCCCACTGGGACCTTGCTGTAGGGTGATGGTCAGCTGACTGATACATCACTAGGACCTTGCTGTAGGGTGAGGGTCAGCTGACTGATACATCACTGGGACCTTGCTGTAGGGTCAGCTGACTGATACCCCACTGGGACCTTGCTGTAGGGTGATGGTCAGCTGACTGATACATCAATAGGACCTTGCTGTAGGGTGAGGGTCAGCTGACTGATACATCACTGGGACCTTGCTGTAGGGTGATGGTCAGCTGACTGATACATCACTGGGCTTGCTGTAGGGTGAGGGTCAGCTGACCGATACATCACTGGGACCTTTCTGTAGGGTTAGGGTCAGCTGACTGATACATCACTGGGACCTTGCTGTAGGGTGAGGGTCAGCTGGATGATACATCACTGGGACCTTGTTGTAGGGTCAGCTGACCGATACCCCACTGGGACCTTGCTGTAGGGTGATGGTCAGCTGACTGATACATCACTGGGCTTGCTGTAGGGTGAGGGTCAGCTGACTGATACATCACTGGGACCTTTCTGTAGGGTTAGGGTCAGCTGACTGATACATCACTGGGACCTTTCTGTAGGGTTAGGGTCAGCTGACTGATACATCACTGGGACCTTGCTGTAGGGTGAGGGTCAGCTGGATGATATCTCGCTGGGACCTTTCTGTAGGGGGAGGGTCAGCTGACTGATACATCACTGGGACCTTGTTGTAGGGTGAGGGTCAGCTGAGTGATACATCACTGGGACCTTGCTGTAGGGTGATGGTCAGCTGACTGATACATCACTAGGACCTTGTTGTAGGGTGAGGGTCAGCTGGGTGATACATCATTGGGACCTTGCTGTAGGGTGATGGTGAGCTGGGTGATACATCACTGGGACCTTGCTGTAGAGTGAGGGTCAGCTGGGTGATACATCATTGGGACCTTGCTGTAGGGTGAGGGTCAGCTGACTGATACATCACTAGGACCTTGTTGTAGGGTGAGGGTCAGCTGGGTGATACATCATTGGGACCTTGCAGTAGGGTGATGGTGAGCTGGGTGATACATCATTGGGACCTTGCTGTAGGGTGATGGTGAGCTGGGTGATACATCATTGGGACCTTGCTGTAGGGTGATGGTGAGCTGGGTGATACATCACTGGGACCTTGCTGTAGTTTAAAGTGTAACTTAGTTAAAACAGTGAACCAGAAGCTAGGTTAGTGTAATCAGGGAGTGACTTTCATGAGAATGGTCAGTTACAGAGTGAGGTTAACAGAGTGAGGTTAAATAGTGCTCAGTTACAGAGTGAGGCTAAATAGTGGTCAGTTACAGAGTTAGGTTAAATAGTGGTTATTTACAGAGCGAGGTTAAATAGTGGTCTGTTACAGAGTAAGGTTAAATAGTGGTCAGTTACAGACTGAGTTTAAATAGTGGTCAGTTACAGACTGAGTTTAAATAGTGGTCAGTTACAGAGTGAGGTTAAATAGTGGTCAGTTACAGAGTGAGGTTAAATAGTGGTCAGTTACAGAGTGAGTTTAAATAGTGGTCAGTTAAAGTAAGGTTAAACAGTGGTCAGTTACAGAGTGAGGTTAAATAGTGGTCAGTTACAGACTGAGTTTAAATAGTGGTCAGTTACAGACTGAGTTTAAATAGTGGTCAGTTACAGAGTGAGGTTAAATAGTGGTCAGTTACAGAGTGAGGTTAAATAGTGGTCAGTTACAGACTGAGTTTAAATAGTGGTCAGTTACAGACTGAGTTTAAATAGTGGTCAGTTACAGAGTGAGGTTAAATAGTGGTCAGTTACAGAGTGAGGTTAAATAGTGGTCAGTTACAGAGTGAGTTTAAATAGTGGTCAGTTAAAGTAAGGTTAAACAGTGGTCAGTTACAGAGTGAGGTTAAATAGTGGTCAGTTACAGACTGAGTTTAAATAGTGGTCAGTTACAGACTGAGTTTAAATAGTGGTCAGTTACAGAGTGAGGTTAAATAGTGGTCAGTTACAGAGTGAGGTTAAATAGTGGTCAGTTACAGAGTGAGTTTAAATAGTGGTCAGTTAAAGTAAGGTTAAACAGTGGTCAGTTACAGAGTGAGGTTAAATAGTGGTCAGTTACAGACTGAGTTTAAATAGTGGTCAGTTACAGAGTGAGGTTAAATAGTGGTCAGTTACAGAGTGAGGTTAAATAGTGGTCAGTTACAGAGTTAGGTTAAATAGTGGTTATTTAAAGAGCGAGTTTAAATAGTGGTCTGTTACAGAGTAAGGTTAAACAGTGGTCAGTTACAGAGTGAGGTTAAATAGTGGTCAGTTACAGACTGAGTTTAAATAGTGGTCAGTTACAGAGTGAGGTTAAATAGTGGTCAGTTACAGAGTGAGGTTAAATAGTGGTCAGTTACAGAGTGAGTTTTAATAGTGGTCAGTTAAAGTGAGGTTAAATAATGGTCAGTTTACAGAGTGAGGTTAAATAGTGGTCAGTAACAGAGTGAGGTTAAATAGTGGTCAGTTACAGAGTGAGGTTAAATAGTGGTCACTAAGAGAGTGAGGTTAAATAGTGGTCAGTTAGAGTTAGGTTAAATAGTGGTCAGTTACAGACTGAGGTTAAATAGTGGTCAGTTACAGATTGAGGTTAAATAGTGATCAGTTTCAGAGTGAGGTTAAATAGTGGTCAGTTAGAGTTAGGTTAAATAGTGGTCAGTTACAGAGTGAGGCTAAATATTGGTCAGTTAGAGTTAGGTTAAATAGTGGTCAGTTACAGAGTGAGGCTAAATATTGGTCAGTTACAGACTGAGGTTAAATAGTGGTCAGTTACAGAGTGAGGTTAAATAGTGATCAGTTTCAGAGTGAGGTTAAATAGTGTTCAGTTACAGAGTGAGGTTAAATAGTGGTCAGTTACAGACTGAGGTTAAATAGTGGTCAGTTAGAGTTAGGTTAAATAGTGGTCAGTTACAGACTGAGGTTAAACAGTAGTCAGTTACATAGTGAGGTTAAATAGTGGTCAGATACAGAGTGAGGTTAAACCGTAGTCAGTTACTGAGTGAGGTTAAATATTGGTCAGTAACAAAGTGAGGTTAAATAGTGGTCAGTGGAGCTATCCTGTATTGAAAAGGAAAAGTCTACCACAGTTACTAGGTACCACTACAAAACAAAAGAAGCTCTGAAAAGTTTTTGTTGTCTTTTTACACTGCCAATATTTTGATAAGATTCTGCTTGAAACAATTTTGATTTCATCATTCTTTGAATATAGAATTTTTTTTTTAAATCACCTAAATGCAGTAAAACATGGCATGAAGTTTACTTCAAGCCTCAGAACTAATGTTTATCAGCAACCTGTATAAACTAAGATAACTCTTCACCGATCACCAAAGTGAAAAGTTCACTTTCTATGGCGAGTCTTCTGATCCAATGACTTGTGATCAACTGTCCAATGACAAATTTGTGATTTTTTTTGCATCATGTAATTAGACACATTTTACAAGACAGAGTTGCTAACAGAACAGGTGAAGGTTATTTCAATACTTAATTAGGCATAAAGAAGATCATTGTTTCAGAGTAGAACAACCAAAATTTGCTGTAATTGTCCTTGCAACTAATTCCAACTTAATTTTTTCAATATCAACATTATTTCACAACAATGATGAAACAAGTTATTTCAACTTATATTAATACTATTGTTGGCCCAGATGTAAGCAGTGTGATGGGTCTTACTGTGGGAGAAAGCTGGAGCACCCAGGGAACGTCCGTTCAAGGAATCAAACCCCCGTCGGCGAGGTGAAAGGCGAATGTTGCCATTGCACAACCCAACCACATTTTTATTTCATATGTAGTTCAGGGGAAGGGACAAAATATGGAAGTTTTGTTTCTACAAGAGATGTTGTGTAATGAAATAAGTCCAGTTTTGACATATTTTCATTTTATTTATTTAGGTGGGAAATTGAAGAAAATCCCTTCAATTACATTTCTTTGAAATATAGGTATAAAATATACAAAATAGTAGCCAGGCAACCATCTTCTACCATACTGTGTCTCAAAATAGACCACTTTAGTCCAGCAGGTAGCAAAGGCTACCTCTAGTGCATCACAGTCAGAACTTTCAACAGTTCACCATTAGGACCTAGTTCTTCAAAGGTTAGAGTTAGTCAACCACTGGTGAAGGAAAAATTCAAATTGTTGCCACTGTACAAAAGTGTTAAAAGCAAAATCAAAACTTAAAAATTACCAGTCTGACCCATATCAACTACAGCAGTGAAATCATGAAGAATACTCCTTAATTTGTTTGACTCATGTTTGAATGTTTTCACTAATCACTGTTTATATCTAACCAGACATTGAACAACCAGGAAAAGATAATGGTGCCTGAAAAATAAGATATTGACTGAGAAAAGGCCAATGTTACCATAAATGTTATCATCAATGACAAGCACAACACAGCTGTACAATGTAATGTTTTAATGTACAATTCAATCATCTCTTAATTATTTAAAACATTATCGATAATTCACACAAACTTTGTCTACCTGGATCTCAACAGGTTTCTATACATATAAACAGCAGTATAACACAATACTACAGACCATCATCCTCACATACACTCTCATTCTCAATTATCCCTATACATCTATATAAACACAGGGTACCAGTCTGTACACATCATCACATAACATGTTGTGTGATCATGTTTATAGAAAATGGTATCTGAGATTAACTTAAAATAAACTTGTGAAATCAGTCATTGTGTAAGTTAATTATTAAAGATATTTATTATTCATAGGTTTTCACTCACAATCAACACCCAAGTACTTTTCTCCCTCAAATAAGAAAACAAGAATTTATAAATGATGTCTTGTTATCTAAAGAATATTAAAAAACATTGAACACATGAAAGTTATAAGAACTTTATCATAAGTGAAGTTTTTTCACATGCTCTGTCTTTCTACCTTTTTCACATTGTTTTCTACCAGTTATTTGTTGAATTTTTTTCACAACATACAATTTCATTTATAATACTTGAGTAATATGAGTTATCCTCCTAGTTACATTCTGTTGTTTATAAGTTACCTCCCCTTATAACAATCTGCTGTTTAGAAGTCTGCTGTTTATAAGTTGTCCCCCCTTGTAACTCATTTCTGTTGCTCTTTAATCTGATCCTATTCAATAACAATCCACCGGCTATAATCTACATTCTTCTTTGTGTAACATTTAACAGTAAAGTCCTATAACTGTCATCCGACAGTGGAGTCCTATAACTGTCACCCGACAGCGGAGTCCTTTAACTGTCACCCGACAGCGGAGTCCTATAACTGTCATCTGACAGCGGAGTCCTATAACTGTCATCTGACAGCGGAGTCCTATAACTGTCATCTGACAGTGGAGTCCTATAACTGTCACCCGACACCGGAGTCCTATAACTGTCACCCGACAGCGGAGTCCTTTAACTGTCACCCGACAGCGGAGTCCTTTAACTGTCACCCGACAGCGAAGTCCTATAACTGTCATCCGACAGCGGAGTCCTATAACTGTCATCTGACAATGGAGTCCTATAACTGTCACCCGACAGCGGAGTCCTATAACTGTCATCTGACAGCGGAGTCCTATAACTGTCATCTGACAGCGGAGTCCTATAACTGTCATCTGACAGTGGAGTCCTATAACTGTCACCCGACACCGGAGTCCTATAACTGTCACCCGACAGCGGAGTCCTATAACTGTCATCTGACAGCGGAGTCCTATAACTGTCATCTGACAGCAGAGTCCTATAACTGTCATCTGACAATGGAGTCCTATAACTGTCACCCGACAGCGGAGTCCTATAACTGTCATCTGAGTGTAAAGTCCTATAAATATACAAAAGCAGTAGTGGTACTGATAACAATTATTTTATAATTTTAAGTGAAAATTTTATGTGCTATGCACGACAACAGCCAAAACACTAATAACATTGGTCATCCTAAGTTCTGTTCTTGATCAATGCTCTTGGATAATGACAAGACTAAGGATTCTGTTAACGTCACTATGTAGATGATATTAGCTGATAAATCTAGGAATGTTGGAATACTGGTGATCTCTTTGATAAAGACAAACGGAACTACGCTGCAGCTTGAAAGGTCAACTAGCTTTAGTTAGGGTATATCATCTCGATCAGCTACAAAGTGAAGTATCATATTCGCAATACAAGAGATTTTCCTGGAACCAATCAGATGACTAACCACAAACCTTCTATTCTGATGGGAGATGGTAGTAAAGAGGAATTGTATATAGCAATCAGGATCTGGGAATCTTTAATAACCGACCAAACTAAAGAAACTTGTGACTGATCAGGAATGATGTTTATGTTAACACCAGAACCCAATCAAATCCTTGTCAAGGTAATTCTGTAAATAGGTAATTTAAAAAAATAGTGATTCACAATACGGCGAGAAGTTAATCCATGATTTCTAAATCTACATGGCCATCTAAGCCTTGAAATTCTCACTCTCCCAAGTATGTTCAATTTGATTTTTACCTAAGCTACAAATATAGAAATTCAGATTTACTTTTGGTAATGTTTTCGTTAAGCCACTGTTCCTACAATGGCTAAACAGAAATATCCTGTGGGAAACATCACATCATTTTTCAAAGGACAAATAAAGAGAAACAAAATTTGGATTCCTACAATTAACAATAGGCTTAAATATAATAATGAATGGAATAAATTAAGATTTTTAAGCACAGCCACACTCTCTTATAAACTTTCATAAAGCATAGAAAAACTTATGTCCCGAAAAGAAAAGCCACTACTGTTTACTTACAACACAAAACTGTCACAAAATAGAAATTTGGCATTGCACTTTCCTGTATGTACATACAGTATATTTCTGGTGATCCTTGAATGTCAAACCTGTCTTCATCAGGATGGGTTTTGTCATCAGACACCTACCATTTACTGTCACTGACGAAAGAAAGGTAAAAACTTGTACCACTTGTCCTTCACAGAAATCCAGGTATCTGCATCCTTGCTCACTATAACTGTCTGAACCCCGGAACATTTTATGGCAAAATTGAAGGCTCTAGAGACCTTACTTGACTGGTCTAGAGCTGGTTTCAGGAGAAGAAAAAAAACTGACCAATCACAGGCTGATATCACTGCTGTGTTCCTGTTAAGGAAATGTCTTTTCAATATGGAGGATGCAGATGGCCACAAAAGGTATATGCCGATATCAAAATATTTAAGCAGTCTAAGGTTTCTTTTTATTGTCAGGGAGACACTCCGATAACATCCACTTTTAAGTGATATATTATTTACGCTGACTATTCTATAATATTAATAATCACAAAATTAAACGAAAACAATCTTGTTTACATTAGGGACTGGTCCTCAAAAATATTTAACAACAAATCCCATCCCAATGCTGAATTAAATGATTCGCTCAACTTTGTGAATGGTTCACAATTATTTATGACAATTACAGCTTAATACAAATATTGTACTAAAATTTCGAGTATTTCTGAATTTCATGTTTCACTTGTCATGGTCAAATTGTATTCATAAACCAGGGAATTTGTAGCTGTAAGCATTTGATTCTACTATATCTGGGTGTTGAGTAAAAGATCTTTGAAATTTAAGTCAATTTGACCCCTTTTTGCCCCACCTATCAGCCCCTAGGGGTCAGTCAGGATCAATATGCACATACAATCAAGGCGTTATCCTTCACTCATAATTCTAACCACAAAATTAAACAAATTATGCAAAAAAATATATTTTTCCTATATAAAATACAGTCCATTTTACCCCCTCCCCACGGGGAAATGTGAGACCCTGGGGCCATGAAATTCATAATTTTGGTAATGCACCTCAAGATGCTTCCATTCAAGAAGAGTATTTGATTGTACCATATCTGAGTCAATTTGACCATTTTTGGCCCCACCTCTCAGGCCCCTGAAAGGTGGGCACTATATAACTCATAATTTTTGGTTCATGAAGATTTCATTGAAATTGGATCAGGGTTTTTTGAGAAGAAGTCGAAAATATTAAATCACTTACAGATCCACGAGGCCAGATAAAGGTGATTGGTCACCATGAGACTTTGTCTCCGAAAAACTACCAAAGGAGTGACACCCAACTTCAAAGGTAGTCAAACATACCATTACACAACCTCAAGGTCCGTTTGATGTACATCAAAGGATCAAACTAGTCTTCTTACACACAGAACCTTCAACTTTGCCAGAAAATGTTCCAGGGGTAGGAGAATGAAAGTGATTGATACACCTGGAGTATTGAGATGAGGTACCTGTAGTTTAAACAGTGTCCTTCCACAGATGTTACACTTCTAATTCCCCGAACACCTTGCGACACCAAATAACCTTTGTCTTTCTTGGACGATCATTGCGCTGTAAACGTTTAACCTCCATTCCTAATAATCTGTTAAAGGCTTGTCTGTATTCTCTATCAAATGCATCTGTAGGAAAAAGGAATTTGTAGCAATTCTGTTGAATATATGCTGCTCAGTAGTCATGTATTAAATCAGATGAGCTATGAAAAGTAGATGAGAAATAGGTATTTAATATTGGTAAAATTAATGTCAACATGAACTGGCATAAGTGAGAAACTTGCCATTAGTATATATCCCCATCAGCTCCCCACCAGCTAAGATATAAAGTGAGATACCTACCATTAGTATATATCCCCACCAGCTAAGATATAAAGTGAGATACCTACCATTAGTATATATCCCCACCAGCTAAGATATAAAGGGAGATACCTACCATTAGTATATATCCCCACCAGCTCCCCACCAGCTAAGATATAAAGTGAGATACCTACCATTAGTATATATCCCCACCAGCTCCCACCAGCTAAGATATAAAGTGAGATACCTACCATTAGTATATATCCCCACCAGCTAAGATATAAAGGGAGATACCTACCATTAGTATATATCCCCACCAGCTCCCCACCAGCTAAGATATAAAGTGAGATACCTACCATTAGTATATATCCCCACCAGCTCCCACCAGCTAAGATATAAAGTGAGATACCTACCATTAGTATATATCCCCACCAGCTAAGATATAAAGGGAGATACCTACCATTAGTATATATCCCCACCAGCTCCCCACCAGCTAAGATATAAAGTGAGATACCTACCATTAGTATATATCCCCACCAGCTCCCACCAGCTAAGATATAAAGTGAGATACCTACCATTAGTATATATCCCCACCAGCTAAGATATAAAGGGAGATACCTACCATTAGTATATATCCCCACCAGCTAAGATATAAAGTGAGATACCTACCATTAGTATATATCCCCACCAGCTCCCCACCAGCTTAGATATAAAGTGAGATACCTACCATTAGTATAGATCCCCACCAGCTAAGATATAAAGTGAGATACCTACCATTAGTATATATCCCCACCAGCTCCCCACCAGCTAAGATATAAAGGGAGATACCTACCATTAGTATATATCCCCACCAGCTCCCACCAGCTAAGATATAAAGTGAGATACCTACCATTAGTATATATCCCCACCAGCTCCCCATCAGCTAAGATATAAAGTGAGATACCTACCATTAGTATATATCCCCACCAGCTCCCACCAGCTAAGATATAAAGTGAGATACCTACCATTAGTATATATCCCCACCAGCTCCCCACCAGCTAAGGTATAAAGGGAGATACCTACCATTAGTATATATCCCCACCAGCTCCCCACCAGCTAAGATATAAAGTGAGATACCTACCATTAGTATATATCCCCACCAGCTAAGATATAAAGTGAGATACCTACCATTAGTATATATCCCCACCAGCTCCCACCAGCTAAGATATAAAGGGAGATACCTACCATTAGTATATATCCCCACCAGCTAAGATATAAAGGGAGATACCTACCATTAGTATATATCCCCACCAGCTCCCACCAGCTAAGATATAAAGGGAGATACCTACCATTAGTATATATCCCCACCAGCTAAGATATAAAGTGAGATACCTACCATTAGTATATATCCCCACCAGCTCCCACCAGCTAAGATATAAAGTGAGATACCTACCATTAGTATATATCCCCACCAGCTCCCCACCAGCTAAGGTATAAAGGGAGATACCTACCATTAGTATATATCCCCACCAGCTCCCCACCAGCTAAGATATAAAGTGAGATACCTACCATTAGTATATATCCCCACCAGCTAAGATATAAAGTGAGATACCTACCATTAGTATATATCCCCACCAGCTAAGATATAAAGTGAGATACCTACCATTAGTATATATCCCCACCAGCTCCCACCAGCTAAGATATAAAGTGAGATACCTACCATTAGTATATATCCCCACCAGCTCCCACCAGCTAAGATATAAAGTGAGATACCTACCATTAGTATATATCCCCACCAGCTAAGATATAAAGTGAGACACCTACCATTAGTATATATCCCCACCAGCTCCCACCAGCTAAGATATAAAGGGAGATACCTACCATTAGTATATATCCCCACCAGCTAAGATATAAAGGGAGATACCTACCATTAGTATATATCCCCACCAGCTAAGATATAAAGTGAGATACCTACCATTAGTGTATATCCCCACCAGCTAAGATATAAAGTGAGATACCTACCATTAGTATATATCCCCACCAGCTAAGATATAAAGTGAGATACCTACCATTAGTATATATCCCCACCAGCTCCCACCAGCTAAGATATAAAGGGAGATACCTACCATTAGTATATATCCCCACCAGCTCCCCACCAGCTAAGATATAAAGTGAGATACCTACCATTAGTATATATCCCCACCAGCTCCCACCAGCTAAGATATAAAGGGAGATACCTACCATTAGTATATATCCCCACCAGCTCCCCACCAGCTAAGATATAAAGTGAGATACCTACCATTAGTATATATCCCCACCAGCTCCCCACCAGCTAAGATATAAAGGGAGATACCTACCATTAGTATATATCCCCACCAGCTAAGATATAAAGTGAGATACCTACCATTAGTGTATATCCCCACCAGCTAAGATATAAAGTGAGATACCTACCATTAGTATATATCCCCACCAGCTCCCCACCAGCTAAGATATAAAGGGAGATACCTACCATTAGTATATATCCCCACCAGCTCCCCACCAGCTAAGATATAAAGTGAGATACCTACCATTAGTATATATCCCCACCAGCTCCCCACCAGCTAAGATATAAAGTGAGATACCTACTATTAGTATATATCCCCACCAGCTAAGGTATAAAGGGAGATACCTACCATTAGTATATATCCCCACCAGCTCCCCACCAGCTAAGATATAAAGTGAGATACCTACCATTAGTATATATCCCCACCAGCTAAGATATAAAGTGAGATACCTACCATTAGTATATATCCCCACCAGCTAAGATATAAAGGGAGATACCTACCATTAGTATATATCCCCACCAGCTAAGATATAAAGTGAGATACCTACCATTAGTATATATCCCCACCAGCTCCCCACCAGCTAAGATATAAAGTGAGATACCTACCATTAGTATATATCCCCACCAGCTAAGATATAAAGGGAGATACCTACCATTAGTATATATCCCCACCAGCTAAGATATAAAGTGAGATACCTACCATTAGTATATATCCCCACCAGCTAAGATATAAAGGGAGATACCTACCATTAGTATATATCCCCACCAGCTAAGATATAAAGTGAGATACCTACCATTAGTATATATCCCCACCAGCTAAGATATAAAGGGAGATACCTACCATTAGTATATATCCCCACCAGCTAAGATATAAAGTGAGATACCTACCATTAGTATATATCCCCACCAGCTCCCCACCAGCTAAGATATAAAGTGAGATACCTACCATTAGTATATATCCCCACCAGCTAAGATATAAAGTGAGATACCTACCATTAGTATATATCCCCCCCCACCAGCTAAGTTATTCAGTATGATACCTACCATGATCTATATTTTCTCTGCCACATGCTGTGAAGGCCAGAAACAACATATCACGGTACAAACTTCTGTATTTGGGTTTTCTCAACCTGTGACGCCGGCGACAATTACCTATCATTTTGATAGGTGATAGGACGTCATTACACTGAATACTGGTAATTATCTGATGGAGTGTTCTGTAAATACAAATTTGGATGAAAAATTCACTGTTCAATCACAATTTTTTTTCAATACAAAAGAACAATAATTCAATTTAATATTCTGGAATTCTGTAATTAAAAATAACTAGGTCCGGGCACCATTTTATTTTTCAAATAATCAGTCAGAGAATGAACTAGGAAGGTTTTCTAACATTAAAAAGAGATCTATTCCATACTTCTACAGTACGAATGGCTTAAGGAGGCAACAGATAAAGACCAGTTTGACAGGCCACCTCATAAAGGTATTAACAAGTTATTTCAAATAAATTTCCTGTCTTTAACCCAAAAAGTATAGCAGTCGTTTGTTACTTTTAACCACTATAATCTGACTATTTACAATACTATTGCTACAGTTCTGTCTTTGGTATGAAGGTAACATTGCTTACGAACAATGAGATGGAAATGGATCACAACAGATATAATTGTGTACAAAGTCTGATACTTACGCTCTGTTAAATGGCTGCTGTTCTGTAATCAAGGCATCTACAGTATGCGAACTGTGACCTGAAAAACATCATTATCTTTCTTAACCAGACTGAAACAAGTTCCAGGTGATCATACTTGGTTACGTTATCTGGTCACTGAGATAATTCTATGAAGATTCTCACTCCCGCCCATCCCTTTATAGCCCACATAGCAATGGAGTTTTCTACTACAACAGCTCAGTCTACTACAACAACTCTACTACAACGACTCAGTCTACTACAACAACTCTACTACAACAACTCTACTACAACAGCTCAGTCTACTACAACAGCTCAGTCTACTACAACAGCTCAGTCTACTACAACGACCCAGTCTACTACAACAGCTCAGTCTACTACAACAACTCTACTACAACAACTCTACTACAACAACTCAGTCTACTACAACAACTCAGTCTACTACAACAACTCTACTACAACAACTCTACTACAACAACTCAGTCTACTACAACAACTCTACTACAACAACTCTACTACAACAGCTCAGTCTACTACAACAGCTCAGTCTACTACAACAACTCAGTCTACTACAACAGCTCAGTCTACTACAACAACTCAGTCTACTACAACAACTCTACTACAACAACTCAGTCTACTACAACAACTCTACTACAACAACTCTACTACAACAGCTCAGTCTACTACAACGACCCAGTCTACTACAACAGCTCAGTCTACTACAACAACTCTACTACAACAACTCTACTACAACGACCCAGTCTACTACAACAACTCAGTCTACTACAACAACTCTACTACAACAACTCTACTACAACAACTCAGTCTACTACAACGACCAAGTCTACTACAACAGCTCAGTCTACTACAACAGCTCAGTCTACTACAACAACTCTACTACAACAACTCTACTACAACGACCCAGTCTACTACAACAGCTCAGTCTACTACAACAGCCCAGTCTACTACAATGACTCAGTCTACTACAACGACTCAGTCTACTACAACAGCTCAGTCTACAACAACAGCTCAGTCTACTACAACAACTCTACTACAACAACTCTACTACAACAACTCTACTACAACGACCCAGTCTACTACAACAACTCAGTCTACTACAACAACTCTACTACAACAACTCTACTACAACAACTCAGTCTACTACAACGACCCAGTCTACTACAACAGCTCAGTCTACTACAACAGCTCAGTCTACTACAACAACTCTACTACAACAACTCTACTACAACGACCCAGTCTACTACAACAGCTCAGTCTACTACAACAGCCCAGTCTACTACAATGACTCAGTCTACTACAACGACTCAGTCTACTACAACAGCTCAGTCTACAACAACAGCTCAGTCTACTACAACAACTCAGTCTACTACAACGACTCAGTCTACTACAACAACTCAGTCTACTACAACGACTCAGTCTACTACAACGACTCAGTCTACTACAACAACTCTACTACAACAACTCTACTACAACAACTCAGTCTACTACAACAACTCAGTCTACTACAACGACTCAGTCTACTACAACAACTCTACTACAACAACTCTACTACAACGGCTCAGTCTACTACAACGGCCCAGTCTACTACAACAGCTCAGTCTACAACAACAGCTCAGTCTACTACAACAACTCAGTCTACTACAACGACTCAGTCTACTACAACTGCTCAGTCTACTACAACAGCTCAGTCTACTACAACAACTCTACTACAACAGCTCAGTCTACTACAACAACTCTACTACAACAACTCAGTCTACTACAACAACTCTACTACAACAGCTCAGTCTACTACAACGACTCAGTCTACTACAACAACTCAGTCTACTACAACGACTCAGTCTACTACAACAACTCTACTACAACAGCTCAGTCTACTACAACGACTCAGTCTACTACAACAACTCAGTCTACTACAACGACTCAGTCTACTACAACAACTCTACTACAACAGCTCAGTCTACTACAACGACTCAGTCTACTACAACAACTCAGTCTACTACAACGACTCAGTCTACTACAACAACTCTACTACAACAGCTCAGTCTACTACAACGACTCAGTCTACTACAACAACTCAGTCTACTACAACGACTCAGTCTACTACAACAACTCTACTACAACAACTCTACTACAACAACTCAGTCTACTACAACAACCCAGTCTACTACAACAACTCTACTACAACAGCTCAGTCTACTACAACAACTCTACTACAACAACTCAGTCTACTACAACAGCTCAGTCTACTACAACAACTCTACTACAACAGCTCAGTCTACTACAACGACTCAGTCTACTACAACAACTCTACTACAACAGCTCAGTCTACTACAACAACTCTACTACAACAACTCAGTCTACTACAACAACTCAGTCTACTACAACGACTCAGTCTACTACAACGACTCAGTCTACTACAACGACTCAGTCTACTACAACGACTCAGTCTACTACAACAACTCTACTACAACAACTCAGTCTACTACAACAGCTCAGTCTACTACAACGACTCAGTCTACTACAACGACTCAGTCTACTACAACGACTCAGTCTACTACAACAGCTCAGTCTACTACAACAGCCCAGTCTACTACAACAGCTCAGTCTACTACAACAACTCAGTCTACTACAACAGCTCAGTCTACTACAACAACTCAGTCTACTACAACGACTCAGTCTACTACAACGACTCAGTCTACTACAACGGCTCAGTCTACTACAACGGCCCAGTCTACTACAACAGCTCAGTCTACTACAACAGCTCAGTCTACTACAACGACTCAGTCTACTACAACGACTCAGTCTACTACAACGACTCAGTCTACTACAACAGCTCAGTCTACTACAACAGCCCAGTCTACAACAACAGCTCAGTCTACTACAACAGCCCAGTCTACTACAACAACTCAGTCTACTACAACAGCTCAGTCTACTACAACAACTCAGTCTACTACAACAACTCTACTACAACAGCTCAGTCTACTACAACAACTCAGTCTACTACAACAACTCAGTCTACTACAACGACTCAGTCTACTACAACAGCCCAGTCTACTACAACAACTCAGTCTACTACAACAACTCTACTACAACAGGTCAGTCAAATCATACAATTGAGGATGTCCTAATATTCAAAATAGTCTACAATGATCTACTTGGTGACTACAATGATCTACTTGGTGATTACAACAGTTGGCTTTAGTACCCCCTTAATATTTGACCATTAAACAAGAGGCCCAAGGGGCCTTAATGGTCACCTGAGGAATATATGTCAATAATCTGCAGATTTTAACATGTTGCAAAAATGTAACAACACTTGTGCAGGACCATGTGTAAAACATCTGTACCAAGTTTGAACATGATGCACTTAATGGTTCTTGAGAGGAAGTCCATAATGTCTTAGCCAAACAGAGGCCAGGGTGGCCATCTTGGATTTTGAATCGCCTCAAAAAGTTAAAACACTTGCCTGGACCTTGTGTAGAACATTGGTATCAAGTTTCCCCTTTTCCCCCCTCCTTGGGCCCCTATTTGGGCCACGCCCTTTTTCTTTGCAAACTTGAAGCCGCTTCCCATGGGGATGCTTTGTGCCAAGTTAGGTCAAAATCCATCCACTGGTTCTTGAGAAGTAGTCATTTAATGAAGGTTTTTACATATGACCCCTTTTACACCCCTTTTGGGCCCCAAATGGGAAATTATCACTTTTTTCAACATAATTTCATATGTCCTTAACTAAGGGATGCTTTCTACCTAATTTGGTTGAAATTGGTCAAAGTTGAATTTTGGACCCTTTTGAGCGCCCCCTAGTGGGGCTGTTTTTGACCTAATTTTTTTTTCATTCGCAAACTTTGTAGACCTTGCCATAAGGACCCTAAATATCAATATGAATTTAATCTGACTGTTGGTTCATGAGAAGAAGATTTTTAAAGATTTACCTAATTTTCCCCCCTTTTTCCCCCTCCTGGGGCCCCTATTGGGGCCACGCCCTTTTTCTTCGCAAACTTGAAGCGGCTTCCCATGGGGATGCTTTGTGTCAAGTTTGGTCAAAAACCATTCAATGTTTCTTGAGAAGATGTCGAATATGTGAAAAGTTAACGACGTACGACGCACGATGACAGACAATTCGGCTCAGGCGACCTAAAAAAGCCCATCCTACAGGGGTCAGTTTTACCTTCATTCCAGAGTTTGTACATAGGGAGTCCAACCTCATCATGAATACGAATATTGTCCCATAGTGGTCGTATTAGCACATGCTGACTTGTGTACACAGCTGTAGACTTAACCTGCAACAGAAATGATCCTTTACTAGAGTTTTGTAGTGTCTGTGTTATCCTGTGGAGGGGAAATGTCTACATTTTTTCTAGTGTCTGTGTTATCCTGTGGAGGGGAAATGTCTACATGTTTTGTAGTGTCTGTGTTATCCTGTGGAGGGGAAATGTCTACATACTTTGTAGTGTCTGTGTTATCCTGTGGAGGGGAAATGTCTACATGTTTTGTAGTGTCTGTGTTATCCTGTGGAGGGGAAATGTCTACATGTTTTGTAGTGTCTGTGTTATCCTGTGCAGGGGAAATGTCTACATACTCTGTAGTGTCTGTGTTATCCTGTGGAGGGGAAATGTCTACATGTTTTGTAGTGTCTGTGTTATCCTGTGGAGGGGAAATGTCTACATACTCTGTAGTGTCTGTGTTATCCTGTGGAGGGGAAATGTCTACATTTTTTTTAGTGTCTGTGTTATCCTGTGGAGGGGAAATGTCTACATGTTTTGTAGTGTCTGTGTTATCCTGTGGAGGGGAAATGTCTACATACTTTGTAGTGTCTGTGTTATCCTGTGGAGGGGAAATGTCTACATGTTTTGTAGTGTCTGTGTTATCCTGTGGAGGGGAAATGTCTACATGTTTTGTAGTGTCTGTGTTATCCTGTGGAGGGGAAATGTCTACATGTTTTGTAGTGTCTGTGTTATCCTGTGGAGGGGAAATGTCTACATGTTTTGTAGTGTCTGTGTTATACTGTGGAGGGGAAATGTCTACATGTTTTGTAGTGTCTGTGTTATCCTGTGGAGGGGAAATGTATACATGTTTTGTAGTGTCTGTGTTATCCTGTGGAGGGGAAATGTCTACATACTCTGTAGTATCTGTGTTATCCTGTGGAGGGGAAATGTCTACATACTCTGTAGTGTCTGTGTTATCCTGTGGAGGGGAAATGTCTACATGTTTTGTAGTGTCTGTGTTATCCTGTGGAGGGGAAATGTCTACATACTCTGTAGTGTCTGTGTTATCCTGTGGAGGGGAAATGTCTACATGTTTTGTAGTGTCTGTGTTATCCTGTGGAGGGGAAATGTCTACATGTTTTGTAGTGTCTGTGTTATACTGTGGAGGGGAAATGTCTACATGTTTTGTAGTGTCTGTGTTATCCTGTGGAGGGGAAATGTATACATATTTTGTAGTGTCTGTGTTATCCTGTGGAGGGGAAATGTCTACATACTCTGTAGTGTCTGTGTTATCCTGTGGAGGGGAAATGTCTACATACTCTGTAGTGTCTGTGTTATCCTGTGGAGGGGAAATGTCTACATGTTTTGTAGTGTCTGTGTTATCCTGTGGAGGGGAAATGTCTACATACTCTGTAGTGTCTGTGTTATCCTGTGGAGGGGAAATGTCTACATGTTTTGTAGTGTCTGTGTTATCCTGTGGAGGGGAAATGTCTACATGTTTTGTAGTGTCTGTGTTATCCTGTGGAGGGGAAATGTCTACATGTTTTGTAGTGTCTGTGTTATCCTGTGGAGGGGAAATGTCTACATGTTTTGTAGTGTCTGTGTTATCCTGTGGAGGGGAAATGTCTACATGTTTTGTAGTGTCTGTGTTATACTGTGGAGGGGAAATGTCTACATGTTTTGTAGTGTCTGTGTTATCCTGTGGAGGGGAAATGTATACATGTTTTGTAGTGTCTGTGTTATCCTGTGGAGGGGAAATGTCTACATACTCTGTAGTGTCTGTGTTATCCTGTGGAGGGGAAATGTCTACATACTCTGTAGTGTCTGTGTTATCCTGTGGAGGGGAAATGTCTACATGTTTTGTAGTGTCTGTGTTATCCTGTGGAGGGGAAATGTCTACATGTTTTGTAGTGTCTGTGTTATCCTGTGGAGGGGAAATGTCTACATACTCTGTAGTGTCTGTGTTATCCTGTGGAGGGGAAATGTCTACATGTTTTGTAGTGTCTGTGTTATCCTGTGGAGGGGAAATGTCTACATGTTTTGTAGTGTCTGTGTTATACTGTGGAGGGGAAATGTCTACATGTTTTGTAGTGTCTGTGTTATCCTGTGGAGGGGAAATGTATACATATTTTGTAGTGTCTGTGTTATCCTGTGGAGGGGAAATGTCTACATACTCTGTAGTGTCTGTGTTATCCTGTGGAGGGGAAATGTCTACATACTCTGTAGTGTCTGTGTTATCCTGTGGAGGGGAAATGTCTACATGTTTTGTAGTGTCTGTGTTATCCTGTGGAGGGGAAATGTCTACATACTCTGTAGTGTCTGTGTTATCCTGTGGAGGGGAAATGTCTACATGTTTTGTAGTGTCTGTGTTATCCTGTGGAGGGGAAATGTCTACATGTTTTGTAGTGTCTGTGTTATCCTGTGGAGGGGAAATGTCTACATACTCTGTAGTGTCTGTGTTATCCTGTGGAGGGGAAATGTATACATGTTTTGTAGTGTCTGTGTTATCCTGTGGAGGGGAAATGTCTACATGTTTTGTAGTGTCTGTGTTATCCTGTGGAGGGGAAATGTCTACATACTCTGTAGTGTCTGTGTTATCCTGTGGAGGGGAAATGTATACATGTTTTGTAGTGTCTGTGTTATCCTGTGGAGGGGAAATGTCTACATGTTTTGTAGTGTCTGTGTTATCCTGTGCAGGGGAAATGTCTACATACTCTGTAGTGTCTGTGTTATCCTGTGGAGGGGAAATGTATACATGTTTTGTAGTGTCTGTGTTATCCTGTGGAGGGGAAATGTCTACATACTCTGTAGTGTCTGTGTTATCCTGTGGAGGGGAAATGTATACATGTTTTGTAGTGTCTGTGTTATCCTGTGGAGGGGAAATGTATACATGTTTTGTAGTGTCTGTGTTATCCTGTGGAGGGGAAATGTCTACATGTTTTGTAGTGTCTGTGTTATCCTGTGGAGGGGAAATGTCTACATGTTTTGTAGTGTCTGTGTTATCCTGTGGAGGGGAAATGTCTACATTTTTTCTAGTGTCTGTGTTATCCTGTGGAGGGGAAATGTATAAGTGAATTGACTGTATTGCTATAATGTATGAAGCATGACTGATGTGTTATCAAAGGTGGATACATAGGACTGAATCAAGTTCAATATATGACATGTACTGTAGTGTCTAGAATATCACTAGAAATAGGGGTAAAAAAGAAATGTTTACAGGAGGTACTGACAGATGGTTGACATGTGTAATTCTTACCGGTTTTGGATTTGTAGATTTAGCTGTTAACAACAATCCAGGCATGTGACTTGGTACTTCAATTCGCTTAAAGTACCAAACCTGGAACAAAACAAAATGTCAAGTCAAACAACCACATTTACAACTCATCTATCATCTACATTCATCCCATGTTCTATGAGAAATACAGCTTGCTTTGTCAAAGTAATTTTTCCATTGATCTGCATTGATTTACCAGTGTTAGAGTGTACAACATTATCATACGAAAATTACTTGTATGTTGCCAACATAAAGAAATGCTGTATCATTTTATAAAACAATTGGTTCAAAGTAGCTATTCATACCAGGTTCCAGAATATTATGGGATGTTCATCCAGGAAGACGTCTACGCTGAGAGACATGTCGCCCTCACTGTTGAGAATGTTCTCTAGTTCTTTTCGCAGTACCAGAGGGCTAAGATAGGGAACAGTAATAGGATCCATAGATGTTGTACCCCTAAAAAAACACAAAACTTCTACATATTACATAATGTATACATTCTGTGATAGTACTACTGCAAGATGACAACAGAGTAGCCAACACTGACCAGCTGATACAAGGACGACCACACTTTGTGTTAGGCCCACTGACCAGCTGATACAAGGATGACCTTACTCTGTGCATTAGGCCCACTGACCAGCTGATACAAGGACGACCATACTCTGTGTGTTAGGCCCACTGACCAGCTGATACAAGGACGACTACACTCTCTGTGTTAGGCCCACTGACCAGCTGTTACAAGGACGACCATACTCTGTGTGTTAGGCCCACTGACCAGCTGATACAAGGATGACCACACTTTGTGTTAGGCCTACTGACCAGCTGATACAAGGATGACCACACTCTGTGTTAAGCCCACTGACCAGCTGATACAAGGACGACCATACTCTGTGTGTTAGGCTGCATAAATGATGGTTGTGGTTACAATGTTGTCTTGTGATTAGGTGGCGCTGTGGTAATGCAATGGCCTTTCACCCAGTAATCTGGGGTCTGATTCCTAAAATGGAGGTGAAAAGGAGTGGGGGTCACCTGCCTGCCCACAGGGACTTTTCACTTTGTATTCCAATTTCCTCCCTCAGTAAGACTCCCCATTTCCTTCCATCCAGGCCAAAAAGGGACATTAATATTAATTTTTTGTTGGAAATTTTTTTTCGCGATTGTTTCAGAGTAAATATATTATGCATGAGTGTTATTTCAAGTTTCAAACAGGAATTTTCATACATAAGTCTTGGAAGTCTATAAAAAGAAACTTTAGTTATCCTGAATCATTTCTATCAGCCCACAGGCCTTAACAGTCATCTGACTATAAAAACTAGCCACGGCCCATAGGCCTTAACAGTCATCTGACTATAAAAACTAGACACGGCCTACAAGGCCTCAACAGTCATCTGACTATAAAAACTAGCCACGCCCACAGGCCTCAACAGTCATCTGACTATAAAAACAAGCCACGCCCACAGGCCTCAACAGTCATCCGACTACAAAATCTAGCCATGGCCCACAGTCCTTAACAGTCATCTGACTATAAAAACTAGCCACGCCCACAGGCCTCAACAGTCATCTGACTATAAAAACTAGCCACGCCCACAGTCCTCAACAGTCATCTGACTATAAAAACTTTCAGCAGGGAGAAATCTTACTGAGAAGCTGTTTTCCATGATGCAGATGGCAGTTTTGGTGAGGAGTATGTAACTGTAATTAGTGTTACCTATTATTTGACAGTAAGTTAGAGATCAATCCAATTGGTGAAAGTTTAAAAATTTGTAATAGGTGTTGCACAAGAAAACTATGATTGCTAGTCATGCTGCAAAATGGCCTCCCTGACTGCTGTGTCAAAGTTTTGAAAAGTTAAAAAAAACTTTGTTGGCTACGTTTCCTTAACATTCCCACCAATTTTTAGCTCAATGATACCAGTGGAACTGGAGAAGAATTTTAAAATATGTTTTTCAAAATGGCGGCCATCATGGGTTTCAGAAATACCAAAAAAAACAGCACTTGGTCATGACCATCTAAGGATCACTTCATGTTAGTTTTAACTCAATCCCACAGGTGGAACTTGAGAAGTTTAAAATATCAAAAGTTTATGCACCGCGGACGGTGCACAGTGGACGATTAACGAAGCAAAATGGCTATCTACAAATAATTGAATATCAATATGTAGAGTATATACCTCTCCATGAAATCCTTTTTCATCTCCGGTAGATCTGAAGGTCGTGTTGGTAGCTCATTGTCTTCCTCTATAGAAATGTTGAGCGGAGAGCGTACAAACTGGTTCTGGTAGTTATCCATAGAGTCAAATGAAGTACCAAACATCACATCTGTAGCACTGGTGAGGCATTCACTTGTACAGCGTCGCCGCGTGGTCACATTGAACTCTGAACTACCACTGATACCTACAATTCATAGTAAAACTCCTCATATACAACCTACTATACTATATGTCTACAAATGTCTCAAACAGCCTTACATCATCAAGCACCATCAGTGCAATTAAAATGGCTCTACCTGGTATTTCAAAAAAACAGTAAAACAGATCTGTTAAAATAGTAACATCATTCATTTCAACTTTTTTAAAAGTATTTACCAGTAGTAGAACAGAACAATCCATCTGACACCCAGTAGATAGACTATGACAGATAAGATTACCTGATACCCAGTAGATAGACTATGACAGATAAGATTACCTGATACCCAGTAGATAGACTATGACAGATAAGATTACCTGATACCCAGTAGATAGACTATGACAGATAAGATTACCTGATACCCAGTAGATAGACTATGACAGATAAGATTACCTGATACCCAGTAGATAGACTATGACAGATAAGATTACCTGATACCCAGTAGGTAGATAGACTATGACAGATAAGATTACCTGATACCCAGTAGGTAGATAGACTATGACAGATAAGATTACCTGATACCCAGTAGATAGACTATGACAGATAAGATTACCTGATACCCAGTAGATAGACTATGACAGATAAGATTACCTGATACCCAGTAGGTAGATAGACTATGACAGATAAGATTACCCGATACCCAGTAGGTAGATAGACTATGACAGATAAGATTACCTGATACCCAGTAGGTAGATAGACTATGACAGATAAGATTACCTGATACCCAGTAGATAGACTATGACAGATAAGATTACCTGATACCTAGTAGATAGACTATGACAGATAAGATTACCTGATACCCAGTAGGTAGATAGACTATGACAGATAAGATTACCTGATACCCAGTAGGTAGATAGACTATGACAGATAAGATTACCTGATACCCAGTAGGTAGATAGACTATGACAGATAAGATTACCTGATACCCAGTAGATAGACTATGACAGATAAGATTACCTGATACCCAGTAGATAGACTATGACAGATAAGATTACCTGATACCTAGTAGATAGACTATGACAGATAAGATTACCTGATACCCAGTAGATAGACTATGGCAGATAAGATTACCTGATACCCAGTAGATAGACTATGACAGATAAGATTACCTGATACCCAGTAGATAGACTATGACAGATAAGATTACCTGATACCCAGTAGATAGACTATGACAGATAAGATTACCTGATACCCAGTAGATAGACTATGACAGATAAGATTACCTGTTACCCAGTAGATAGACTTTGACAGATAAGATTACCTGATACCCAGTAAGTAGATAGACTATGACAGATAAGATTACCTGATACCCAGTAGATAGACTATGACAGATAAGATTACCTGATACCCAGTAGGTAGATAGACTATGACAGATAAGATTACCTGATACCCAGTAGGTAGATAGACTATGACAGATAAGATTACCTGATACCCAGTAGATAGACTATGACAGATAAGATTACCTGATACCCAGTAGATAGACTATGACAGATAAGATTACCTGATACCCAGTAGATAGACTATGACAGATAAGATTACCCGATACCCAGTAGGTAGATAGACTATGACAGATAAGATTACCTGATACCCAGTAGGTAGATAGACTATGACAGATAAGATTACCCGATACCCAGTAAGTAGATAGACTATGACAGATAAGATTACCTGATACCCAGTAGATAGACTATGACAGATAAGATTACCTGATACCCAGTAGGTAGATAGACTATGACAGATAAGATTACCTGATACCCAGTAGGTAGATAGACTATGACAGATAAGATTACCTGATACCCAGTAGGTAGATAGACTATGACAGATAAGATTACCTGATACCCAGTAGATAGACTATGACAGATAAGATTACCTGATACCCAGTAGATAGACTATGACAGATAAGATTACCTGATACCTAGTAGATAGACTATGACAGATAAGATTACCTGATACCCAGTAGATAGACTATGACAGATAAGATTACCTGATACCCAGTAGGTAGATAGACTATGACAGATAAGATTACCTGATACCCAGTAGGTAGATAGACTATGACAGATAAGATTACCTGATACCCAGTAGATAGACTATGACAGATAAGATTACCTGATACCCAGTAGATAGACTATGACAGATAAGATTACCTGTTACCCAGTAGATAGACTATGACAGATAAGATTACCTGATACCCAGTAAGTAGATAGACTATGACAGATAAGATTACCTGATACCCAGTAGATAGACTATGGCAGATAAGATTACCTGATACCCAGTAGATAGACTATGACAGATAAGATTACCTGATACCCAGTAGGTAGATAGACTATGACAGATAAGATTACCTGATACCCAGTAGATAGACTATGACAGATAAGATTACCTGATACCCAGTAGGTAGATAGACTATGACAGATAAGATTACCTGATACCCAGTAGATAGACTATGACAGATAAGATTACCTGATACCCAGTAGATAGACTATGACAGATAAGATTACCTGATACCCAGAAGATAGACTATGACAGATAAGATTACCTGATACCTAGTAGATAGACTATGACAGATAAGATTACCTGATACCCAGTAGATAGACTATGACAGATAAGATTACCTGATACCTAGTAGATAGACTATGACAGATAAGATTACCTGATACCCAGAAGATAGACTATGACAGATAAGATTACCTGATACCTAGTAGATAGACTATGACAGATAAGATTACCTGATACCCAGTAGGTAGATAGACTATGACAGATAAGATTACCTGATACCCAGTAGATAGACTATGACAGATAAGATTACCTGATACCCAGTAGATAGACTATGACAGATAAGATTACCTGATACCCAGAAGATAGACTATGACAGATAAGATTACCTGATACCCAGTAGATAGACTATGACAGATAAGATTACCTGATACCCAGTAGATAGACTATGACAGATAAGATTACCTGATACCCAGTAGATAGACTATGACAGATAAGATTACCCGATACCCAGTAGGTAGATAGACTATGACAGATAAGATTACCTGATACCCAGTAGATAGACTATGACAGATAAGATTACCTGATACCCAGTAGATAGACTATGACAGATAAGATTACCTGATACCCAGTAGGTAGATAGACTATGACAGATAAGATTACCTGATACCCAGTAGATAGACTATGACAGATAAGATTACCCGATACCCAGTAGGTAGATAGACTATGACAGATAAGATTACCTGATACCCAGTAGATAGACTATGACAGATAAGATTACCTGATACCCAGTAGATAGACTATGACAGATAAGATTACCTGATACCCAGTAGGTAGATAGACTATGACAGATAAGATTACCTGATACCCAGTAGATAGACTATGACAGCTAAGATTACCTGATACCCAGTAGATAGACTATGACAGATAAGATTACCTGATACCCAGTAGGTAGATAGACTATGACAGATAAGATTACCTGATACCCAGTAGATAGACTATGACAGCTAAGATTACCTGATACCCAGTAGATAGACTATGACAGATAAGATTACCTGATACCCAGTAGATAGACTATGACAGATAAGATTACCTGATACCCAGTAGATAGACTATGACAGCTAAAATTACCTGATACCCAGTAGATAGACTATGACAGGTGAATTTGTATTGCCTGTATGATTACCTGATGGACTTGAGCAGCGTGCAGCTTCGGCAAGGTGAGCATCCTTGCGTGCTGAGCGGTGAGGTGTAACAGGACTGGTATGACCATCACCATCCAGACTGTCTTCTCCAGGGAAAAAGAAGTTGTTATTGTCCATACTACTCATTGATGAGGTGTCCTGTAGGACCCACGGATCGTTGGTTGAATTCTCTGACACAGAGTCACGATCGTGGTCTCCGACCTGCAGGTGATGTTCTTCAACTCTGTCTTCCAGGTCAGTAACATCCAAATCATCAATATTTGTATTATGACAGTGATCTCGCCAGTCCTGAAAGAAAATATCAAAACTGCATATGGCCAAGATTGCTTCAAATCCAATTTGGTCATAATCCAATCATTCTTACAGGAGTAAGATTTTAAATAATTTGCTCAATTTCCCCACCTGAGCCTGCGCCTGAGCCTGGGTCCAGGCCCAAGAGGGCTGAGACCAACTCTTTATACAGACTTTATTTCCCTTCACCTAACAATACTCTAGACCAAATATGAGCAAAATCCAATCATTCCTACAGAGGTAGAATTTTGAAATTTCCCCTTTGGGCCTTGCCCCTCAGGTCCCTGGGGTCAAGACTAATCATTTATTCAAAATTTGTTTCCCTTGTGATGCTTCTGACCGAATTTAGTTGTTTATGACTAGTAGCAATTTTTAAGAAAAAAGTTGACAGACAGACGGACAACAGACACTGCAGTATGCCCTAAGCACACTTTGCAATTTGGGCCTCCGATCTCAATTGTTTAATAAATAACCCAGAACCTCAGTCCCACAGGGTGGATCCAGAACATGGTACCTATTCATAAATCATGATTTTTTCGTCTTTTCATGCCAATTAATTCTATATGACAGTGGGGTGGGGGGGGGGGGGGGGGGGGGGTGGTGGGGGGGGGGGGGGGGGGGGGGGGCTTTCGGGCCAGGTGAGCTAAAAAACACTGTCATCACAGAAATATCTTACTTTATTATGAAAAGGTCTAAATATCAGAATTAAAACCTATTTCATTTTTTTCAGACAATCATTATCAAAATTCATTATTTTTTTCTACCATCAGAAGAGGCAGATTTTATGTAAATCTTAAATCTTACCTTGACATAAATCTGTAACCTAGGGACAAGCTTTGTCTGACAAAAGACACACCTGTAAATATACAGAATATTAATCCAACATTTAAACAGAGACAAGCTTAGTCTGACAAAAGACACACCTGTAAATATACAGAATATTAATCCAACATTTAAACAGAGACAAGCTTAGTCTGACAAAAGACACACCTGTAAATATACAGAATATTAATCCAACATTTAAACAGAGACAAGCTTAGTCTGACAAAAGACACACCTGTAAATATACAGAATATTAATCCAACATTTAAACAGAGACAAGCTTTGTCTGACAAAAGACACACCTGTAAATATACAGAATATTAATCCAACATTTAAACAGAGACAAGCTTTGTCTGACAAAAGACACACCTGTAAATATACAGAATATTAATCCAACATTTAAACAGAGACAAGCTTAGTCTGACAAAAGACACATGTAATTATACAGAATATCAATCCAACATTTAAACAGAGACAAGCTTAGTCTGACAAAAGACACACCTGTAAATATACAGAATATTAATCCAACATTTAAACAGAGACAAGCTTAGTCTGACAAAAGACACACATGTAATTATACAGAATATCAATCCAACATTTAAACAGAGACAAGCTTAGTCTGACAAAAGACACACCTGTAATTATACAGAATATTAATCCAACATTTAAACAGAGACAAGCTTAGTCTGACAAAAGACACACCTGTAAATATACAGAATATTAATCCAACATTTAAACAGAGACAAGCTTAGTCTGACAAAAGACACATGTAATTATACAGAATATCAATCCAACATTTAAACAGAGACAAGCTTAGTCTGACAAAAGACACACCTGTAAATATACAGAATATTAATCCAACATTTAAACAGAGACAAGCTTAGTCTGACAAAAGACACACATGTAATTATACAGAATATCAATCCAACATTTAAACAGAGACAAGCTTAGTCTGACAAAAGACACACCTGTAATTATACAGAATATTAATCCAACATTTAAACAGAGACAAGCTTAGTCTGACAAAAGACACACCTGTAAATATACAGAATATTAATCCAACATTTAAACAGAGACAAGCTTAGTCTGACAAAAGACACACATGTAATTATACAGAATATCAATCCAACATTTAAACAGAGACAAGCTTTGTCTGACAAAAGACACACCTGTAAATATACAGAATATTAATCCAACATTTAAACAGAGACAAGCTTAGTCTGACAAAAGACACACATGTAATTATACAGAATATCAATCCAACATTTAAACAGAGACAAGCTTAGTCTGACAAAAGACACACATGTAATTATACAGAATATCAATCCAACATTTAAACAGAGACAAGCTTTGTCTGACAAAAGACACACCTGTAAATATACAGAATATTAATCCAACATTTAAACAGAGACAAGCTTAGTCTGACAAAAGACACACATGTAATTATACAGAATATCAATCCAACATTTAAACAGAGACAAGCTTTGTCTGACAAAAGACATCTGTAGATATACTGAATATCAATCCAACATTTAAACAGAGACAAGCTTTGTCTGACAAACAAAATATGTATATAAAAATCTTACACTTTGCTAAGATAGGAAACTTACACTGTGTTTAGACAGAAAACTTACACTATGTTTAGTCAGGAAACATACTGTGTTTAGATAGGAAACTTACACTGTTTAGATAGGAAACTTACACTGTTTAGATAGGAAACTTACACTGTGTTTAGATAGGAAACTTACACTGTGTTTAGATTGGAGTCATCTGCCAACCATCCACTCATGATTTCCTCATCATACAACAGTGACTTGCACCGTGTACAGCGACAACAGCTGCTGATTTCTGTCTCGATGGCGATGTCATTCAGTGAAGGAGCCAGACTAGCGAAATGCACAGACTTATGCTCTCCAAATTCCTTCAGGGGGATATACTGCTCCATAAATGATGAAGAAGGCAGGAAACTTCCTAAAAAGTAAATGGTGATATAGTACAGAAAGGCATCATACAGCTTACCCTTGTTGTTTTTGTTTTTTTGTTTATTTTTTGTGTCTTCTTCAGGCACAGCTGTTTACTTAAAAAAAAAGTAAGAACTTGACAGTGCACCAAACCTACATTTAGAAATATCTTATCATCCTCTAATTTTGAAGATAAGAATTCACAGACTTTGTTCTTTTGCATATATATCTTTGAATGACTGTGATGGTGTTGGTGATTTTGATGATCATGATGATAATTATAATTGCATGGTGATCATAATATGATTATAATGATTATCATGTACATATAATGATGATGATGATGATGATTATGATGATGATGATGATGATGATGATGTATGATGATGATGATGATGATAATGATGATGACTGATTGGTTGATGATGATGATGATGATGTATGATGATGATGATGATGATGATGAAGATGATGATGATGATGATGATGATGATGATGATGATGATGATGATGATGATAATGATGATGACTGATTGGTTGATGATGATGATGATGATGTATGATGATGATGATGATGATGATGATGATGATGATGATGATGATGATGATGATGATAATGATGATGACTGATTGGTTGATGATGATGATGATGATGTATGATGATGATGATGATGATGATGATGATGATGATGATGATGATGATGATGATGATGATGATGATGATGATGATAATGATGATGTATGATGATGATGATGTCATGTGTGATTGTTGGTATGTGTCATCTATTGCTACTTTTATGTATCATGCAAATTTTTTGAAAAATAAAAAAAATACAAAACAAAAAAACAAAAAAAACCCCACTATATCACACCTTACCCCCTCCCCAGGAGTCATGAAATCAAGACTTTTGATTAGACACACCCTTCAAACCATGAAGAATGCTTGAATCTATTAAATCTGGGTTACTTTTGAAATTTCAATCAGTTTTACCCATTTTGGTCACAACCATAAACTCCTGGGAGCTAGTAAGTGTCATAAAGTACATACAATCAAACTTATAACATAAATGAAGTTTGAAAAATCTACAGACCAACAAAAACTAAACAAATTACACTCGAAAATCTTGTTCCTATAATAAGCACAGTAAACTTTATACCATCTTTGTATTAGGTAACCTAATTTATGAGCTGGTTCTGGGATTCTGCATTTAACAAGTATCCAGAGGAAAGACTTTTCTTTTGTTTAAGCAAAATTTGACAGAAGTAGCGATGGAGTAATGATGGAAACATACCAACAGGCAATGCAGAGGTATTATCTTTAGACTCTTCATGCGTCTCGCCCCGCCGTAGATCTCTGTCTGATCCCATGGCTGACTTTCTTGCAGGTACCTCCAGCCCCCCCTTGTGGTTACTCTCCTCACTGTTGATGCTATCACAATCCCCAGTGTGTGACAGTGATGTGTTTGACCCCGTCTTTGTTGGGGTACTCATTGTCTGTTTGATCTCACTAAATTTGTTTGCTAGAGCTCCAAATCCCATCTTTAAAGCACCACTCAAACGTTCATTATGCTTTCGAAAGCTTCCTACTTTTCGTGGCCCCTGAGCTTCTGGAGTCGCTACTGGACTAGTTTCTGGTTTCTCGTCCAAGGAATCATTAGATTTTTTTAAAGAAGAAGATAAAGACTGCAAATAACCTTTTACCGGCCAAAACCCACGCCCAGATTTCTCTGTGTTTTCCAACGATCCTGGAGAACTATTTGTTCTTCCAATATCCATCAGTCTCTTTCCGATTTTATCCACTGGAGAGAGAGGCTGGGAGCCAGTACTTGTGACACTGACTGTGTCTAGGCTTTGTGCTGATCCCAGATTAAACACTTTCCTATTATCACTGTTTGTTCTAGTCCTTGTCACCTCAGCACCAATATTGCACTCTTGAGCATGGTTGCCAGAATTTGAAACAGGTTCATGAAAATCAAACTGATCACTAGATTCTGGCCGTGTGTGAATCTCATATGGTGGTGAGATACAATGGGAATACGTCACGTTAGTCTCACTGGAAAACTTGGACACAGAATCAGAAGTAGGTATATCTGAAGGGACGTCCATAAACAAGCCCAAGGGGTCGTTTGTGGTTACAGGGGTTCCTATGGAATGTATTGCTGGGGACGGGTCCATTGTCTCCGGTGCACTGACCGAATTAGACATGGAAGACGATTTCATGTCTATAGGGATAGACATAGGCCTAGATGAAGTAGTCTGAGTATCACTGTTGTCACTGAGCTGTACTCGACACTCATCTAACACCACCCCACTATCCTTAGTGTCATCACTAGTCCTCATTTCATCAGACAGAGCACTATCCTCGGGTTTTTCCAAGTCCACCTCGAATATATCATCTTCACTGTTCTTCCGCTCACTGAATTTGAGGAAAAGGCGATCCTCACCACTCACATGTCGTGGACGCCAATTTTCACTCACACTCTGAGATCGAGGCTTGTTATAGTCACCAGCACTCTTGTGACGCTTCCTCTTCCCATTGTTATTGTCAAGGGATAACTGCCTTTGAAATTCATTAGGTTGGATGTTTTCATTCACCATAATTAATCCAGTAGATGATAAACTCACTGCAAAAAAGAAAGAAATAATCTCCAAAATTTGTCAATATTTGTGATTTGTTTTGCTCTGCCTAATGTCACTAGAAGTTCAAAAATTATTTTTTTACTTGTTCCTGACTTATCTATCATACTTTATCAAAGTTTATCTCTAATACTAATGATATTACTTGTGAACCAAAAGTCTCCACAAGTAGCTTTATCTATATCATTTTGAATACAGACATATTTAGCTTTAAATGAAATCTCTAAAGTTCTATAAAACTTCCTGACACCGCCTTTTAATATCTTATAACTTAATAACATTATCAATCTCTACAGTTCTATATAACTTACTCAAACTGCCTTTTAATGTTTCGTGGCTACCAATACTTCCAATACTGCCCAGGGATTTTCGTACAATGCTTCCAACTCGAGTTCGAAATACAACTGGGTCTGCATCACTGGCTTGAAAGTCAAGTTCTTTCTTTCCTACAATGAAATACTTCACACTGTATATACTATGTTAAAACAGATCAATTATAGTAGGAATGTTTACAGTAACAGGAGTATCAGTGAAACTGATGAATGCTGCCTTTATCAGACCAAAAATTATAACAAAGGGCAATAGTTTAGTAATTAAGAGGTTTCAGGCACTGAATTTGGAACAGTGTATATCCTCTCAGTATGACCAATGAGAAAACATCACTTTGAGTCATCATGATTTAAGCCTACCAATTTTGAAAGAAACTGATCGAAAAATGTGAGATTATCTTCAGACAAGATTAAGATTATGAAAACAACAAGGGCAGTAACTCTTCCAAAATGAGTCAAATCAAACTGTCGTTCAGGAAAACAAAACTTCATGTCAGGATGACAAAGCCTCAGAAGTCTTAAAAAGATTGATTAAGAGATGTGGGAGGAGATCTCCAAAGGAAAAAAAAAAGTTTTATATGATGAATGGGCAATGCCATATCATAAAATGTCCCTTCAAATAAAAAAAGAACTCGACCCTTATGGAGAATTGCAAAAAGTGTTAACCTGAATTTCGAACTGAACTATGTTTCCTTGGCAAACTGAAGCGGAGTGCAGACTTAGTCTCCTTTCTTCCTTTTCCTGTCTCCTCTTGGATGGTCATCTCAGACACACTTTGCACAATTGTCTTAGCTTCATCATAAGTCATGGAATTGTAACCACGATCCGATACCATTTCTGAAGAATTCCACAAGGACACTAGTTTGACTTGGTAATTCTGGACAATTCAAGTTCATTCATGGAAATTTTCATAGGAGAATTCAAGACCTTTTTTTCACTTGAAACACTGGAAAACTTTTGACAACTACATGTTAATATCTGATTTGCACCAAAGCTGATATAAAACTGATAATTTCTTATTTTTTTGATGGATATTTAGTAAAAAAGACTATTTCTAAAAAATGAATTACTAAGCGCTTTATGAGAAGTACCTGAACTGGTCTCCTCATTTATACTGGATGTGGGAGGCTCATTCATTGTTCCACTGGTGTCTGTTACCACTATATCTGACTTTATAATACTTTGTTGCTTTTCTGCAGCATCCTCCAAGAAGCTGTCTATGCTGGTCCTGCTTATCTGGTCATAGTCGCTCCCAGAATTAGAACACAGAGACATACTCCGTCGACGTATGGCACGTCGGAACTGAGCAACACCAAATATAACATTCCGTACTTTCTTCCATAGTACAGCTCCGCGACTTCTAGAAGATGGCCAGGTTCCCTCAAACACCGCCTGAAATGTTGGAACAGAATTGGTACATGTGTCAAATGATGATACAAGTATATCTATCTCAAGGTATTGTTTCCTATTAATATCTAGATAAAACTTAATTCAAAGCATCATTTTACACTTAATGAAATCAAACAACGTAAGTGATTCATATTAATGTGGTTACTACCTTGTTATAATATCCATAAGTTATAGCATTGGGGTGAACTCCAGCCATCTTCATCTGGGAATGGACCTTAACTGCCAATACTGGCATGTTGTACTGGCCACAAAGCTGTAACATCACCCTGTAGCATACCTGTAGGAAACAGATTCAATGTTAGATGCCTTTCTTTGTCATACTAACATGCTTAAACTTCAGAAAAAAAAGAAAAAAAAAACTCAGAGGGATCTTGTCGCCCACCCTTGTTTGATATATGCTCATTGAATGTTGGATCTTTTCCCTGATGACACAGGGAGAATTTCTTGTTATTTTTATCCTTACTTCTAACCTGATGACACAGGGAGAATTTCTTGTTATTTTTATCCTTACTTCTAACCTGATGACACAGGCTTACTTCTAACCTGATGACACAGGGAGAATTTCTTGTTATTTTTATCCTTACTTCTAACCTGATGACACAGGGAGAATTTCTTGTTATTTTTATCCTTACTTCTAACCTGATGACACAGGCTTACTTCTAACCTGATGACACAGGCTTACTTCTAACCTGATGACACTGGCAGGATTTCTTGTTATTTTTATCCTTACTTCTAACCTGATGACACAGGGAGAATTTCTTGTTATTTTTATCCTTACTTCTAACCTGATGACACAGGCTTACTTCTAACCTGATGACACTGGCTTACTTCTAACCTGATGACACTGGCAGGATTTCTTGTTATTTTTATCCTTACTTCTAACCTGATGACACAGGCTTACTTCTAACCTGATGACACAGGCTTACTTCTAACCTGATGACACTGGCAGGATTTCTTGTTATTTTTATCCTTACTTCTAACCTGATGACACAGGGAGAATTTCTTGTTATTTTTATCCTTACTTCTAACCTGATGACACAGGGAGAATTTCTTGTTATTTTTATCCTTACTTCTAACCTGATGACACTGGCAGGATTTCTTGTTTTATATTAATCCAACCTGTGATTACAATTAGAAGGTTTCATCTTGTATTTTTATCGTAATTTTTGACAAACCTCATCAGGAGGCTGGAGTTTAGCTAACTTCATCTTCTGTAGGACATCATATGCGGCCTTCAGAGCCTTGTTTTTGGACGGACTAGCAGCCACGTATGCAGGCAGGTGGATAAACCAGAGACTGTAGCAGTGACTCAGTAGACACCTGTAATATACATTATACACACTTGTTACATACAATAGACACCTGTAGTACACAAAAGACACCTGTAGTACACAAAAGACATCTGTGATACACAACAGACATCTGTGATACACAAAAGACATCTGTGATACACAACAGACATCTGTGATACACAACAGACATCTGTGATACACAACAGACATCTGTAGAACTGTATTGTAATGATTTATTGTTAATTGCTAATCTAATCATATTGCAAAGTAAATATGGAAAATATTAATGTTTAGGTCAGTCAAGATTAGTTCAGGTCATAGGTCAAATAAGTCATCAATATCAATCAATAATGGAACTAATATTGACTGATTAATGAAATTTCAATGTCATAGTTTTTTTCCAGTCAAGCTGACAATACAAAACAGTGACTTATTTGTGTCTGGTCTTACAGTTAAAAACCAGGTATAGAAACGTTTTTAGTCAAGATGACATTTCCATGATGTGGCTCCTCACAGCAGATTCTGAAGCAAGCTTTGTCTATACACAGGACAATTGTTATCAACAGAATTACCCTTGGTAGGGCCTCAAACAGCAAATCCTTGCTGAAGCTAGAGAACAACAGAGTAAAGGCCTGCTCTGTGGACACTATCTATACACAACAACAGAGTAAAGGCCTGCTCTGTGGACACTATCTATACAGAACAACAGAGTAAAGGCCTGCTCTGTGGACACTATCTATACACAACAACAGAGTAAAGGCCTGCTCTGTGGACACTATCTATACACAACAACAGAGTAAAGGCCTGCTCTGTGGACACTATCTATACACAACAACAGAGTAAAGGCCTGCTCTGTGGACACTATCTATACACAACAACAAAGTAAAGGCCTGCTCTGTGGACACTATCTATACACAACAACAGAGTAAAGGCCTGCTCTGTGGATACTATCTATACACAACAACAGAGTAAAGGCCTGCTCTGTGGATACTATCTATACAGAACAACAGAGTAAAGGTCTGCTCTGTGGACACTATCTATACAGAACAACAGAGTAAAGGCCTGCTCTGTGGACACTATCTATACACAACAACAGAGTAAAGGCCTGCTCTGTGGACACTATCTATACACAACAACAGAGTAAAGGCCTGCTCTGTGGACACTATCTATACACAACAACAGAGTAAAGGCCTGCTCTGTGGACACTATCTATACACAACAACAGAGTAAAGGTCTGCTCTGTGGACACTATCTATACAGAACAACAGAGTAAAGGTCTGCTCTGTGGACACTATCTATACAGAACAACAGAGTAAAGGTCTGCTCAGTGGACACTATCTATACAGAACAACAGAGTAAAGGTCTGCTCTGTGGACACTATCTATACACAACAACAGAGTAAAGGCCTGCTCTGTGGACACTATCTATACACAACAACAGAGTAAAGGCCTGCTCTGTGGACACTATCTATACACAACAACAGAGTAAAGGCCTGCTCTGTGGACACTATCTATACACAACAACAGAGTAAAGGCCTGCTCTGTGGACACTATCTATACACAACAACAGAGTAAAGGCCTGCTCTGTGGACACTATCTATACACAACAACAGAGTAAAGGCCTGCTCTGTGGACACTATCTATACACAACAACAGAGTAAAGGCCTGCTCTGTGGACACTATCTATACACAACAACAGAGTAAAGGCCTGCTCTGTGGACACTATCTATACACAACAACAGAGTAAAGGCCTGCTCTGTGGACACTATCTATACACAACAACAGAGTAAAGGCCTGCTCTGTGGACACTATCTATACACAACAACAGAGTAAAGGCCTGCTCTGTGGACACTATCTATACACAACAACAGAGTAAAGGCCTGCTCTGTGGACACTATCTATACACAACAACAGAGTAAAGGCCTGCTCTGTGGACACTATCTATACACAACAACAGAGTAAAGGCCTGCTCTGTGGACACTATCTATACACAACAACAGAGTAAAGGCCTGCTCTGTGGACACTATCTATACAGAACTGTATACATGTGTGTAGAAAAAGAAACATGTTGATGAGGACAGTTTTCGAAATAAATAAATTAAAAAATCGACGGTTTTTCATTGAATCCTAAGAAACAATAGGGATATGTCTTTTCTCACTGTGACAATATTTGCAAAAGATGAACTCAAACAGATCCCTTGTTTTCCAGTTATTCTGTCCACAAGTCCATTCACCTAGCATGATAGCATAAGCTAGTGAACTTCGTCCAGCAGCTAACAAGTTGCCTTGAAAACCATTACAAAAAATGCCTAAAGCTTATATCAATTCCTTGCCCAAATTTAATTGTGCGGATGATTTCATTTGACAAAAAATGTATTGTGTTTAGTTGGGTATCAAATAAATCTTATTGTATGGGTTACTGGACGTCAAAAATAACTATTTCCTGACCCCACTGGAATAACCCTTATTAACTCCTATTATTGTGATTATGGGTAAGTTTATACAAAGAAAACCAATATGTTTCAGCTCTTTATAACAAATCATTCTGAACTTACTTTGCCCACAACATAGGATCAGTCGAGTTTTGTACAGCATTCTGAAAACAACAAAAAGAATTTGGAAAGGTCTATACACAAAACAAAACAAGAATTGAAAACAGTGACTATTGACTGCCATAATGAAACAAGTAGTGACCTCCACTTTAACAAGTTCTAATTTACCATGAAGATCCAATTATCAGAGAAAACATTAGTAAACTACTTGAAACACACCTCTTCTCAGCTTCTAGGAAAAAGTGAAAATTTGAATTATCGAAAGAAAATTGCCCTTAACTGTATAATGACTAAGAATAGTTTGTGATATAAACCTTTTGTGCTGTCCTCACTTCCTGTTTAGTGCGCCTCGAAATGGGACTGTTAGGACAGATGGGACCTTTTGTTGGGAGAGATAACTCTGATACATTTTTCTTCATAAACAACTCGTGCTTCAGTTCTGGGAATCCGTTATAGCTGTAACAGGAATGACATAAAAATTAATATATAACATATAATTCATGTATCTATCAAAATTTTCATAACTATTGAAATCGAAGGAAGTTCTTTCACATTTATAGCTGTAAAAATAATAGGCAATTGTTGATAAAATGTTTCATTACCAAAAAAAAAAATTTCTTGTCAAGCAGTGCATCAGTGATATATTTCTAATTGATATATGGGTTTCAACGTAAAAAAGTTGTAAACAATGCTTAGGTCCATCAACAAGTTTTCATGTTAATCCTGAGCAGAACCTGGGCTTTAGACTGGTGTAACTGACCTGTACTTGAGCTATAAATTGGTGATGGTGTAACTTACCTGTACTTGAGCTATAAATTGGTGATGGTGTAACTTACCTGTACTTGAGCTATAAATTGGTGTAACTTACCTGTATTCGAGCTATTAACTAGTCAATGATGTAACCTACCTGTATTTGACACCCTCAGGAAGTCCCACAGGTTCTGGGGGCAGGATAAACACAGTTCTCTCACTACAACACAAATTACAGTTTCTAAGACTCTCATTAAGGAAATCTTCAGGTATCTCACATCTATCATGAGGACGTTATCAATACTCCAGGTATTACACTCAGTATCGCCCTCTACACCCCTCAAACATTTCATAGCAAAACTGAACGTCCAAGTGAAGTAATTTGACTGGTCTAGAGCAGGTTTCAGGAGAAATACTGAACTGACACACACCTTTGAAGATAACAAGAGATCCAAGAGGGATTTTGTCGCCCACCCTTGTTTGATATATGCTCATTGAATGTTGGATCTTTTCACTTTTTATCTCTTCTCTTCTCTGTTTTGCTCTTAATGATAAGAAATTAGAACATTTCTTTGCAGAAATAGCGATGATAATCTTCACCTGCCAAATCCAAAATGGCCACCTAGAAACCATTTTTTTTTTCTGATCAGTCCAAAAATCAAACAAGCACAAGGAGAGACTAAAGGGAACATACATGTGAAATTTGAGAGATATCCATTCAGTACTTCTTAAGAAATAGCAATAACAATTTTTACTCAGCAAAATCCAACATGGCTGCCTGTCAGCAATTTCGTATTTCTGGTCAGTCCCAAACATCAAATTTTATAAAGATCTATACAGCACTTCCCAAGAAATAGCCATAACAAACTTGCAAAGTTAAAATGCAAGATGGCTGTCTGTCAGCCATTTTGTTCTTCTGATCAAAACCCAAAATCAAATTGGCATTACTAGGGACCAAGAGGAACCTAGATATGAAATTAGGAAATATCCATCTAGTACTTCCTGAGGAATAGCGATAACAAACTTTCAGAGTCAACATCCAAGATGGTTGCCTGTCTGCCATTTTGTTTTTTTAAACAGTCCCAAAATCAAACAAGCACAATTAGAGACAAAGAGGAACCTACATAGGCAGTTTGAGAAAAATCCATCCAGTACTTTTCAAGAAACAGCGATAAGCGATAAGAAAAGTTGTTTAGGGATGGACTGACGGACAACGAATCACAAACACAGAGCGATTTTGAATTTTGTGGGCTAATAAAGGAGTAATGCCCAACTTCAAAACCAGTACATCATACAGTTACGTCATCACAAAATTTGTTTAAAGTTTATCAAAGAATCAAGTAGTCTTCTCATCTTATCTACAAGGTGTTGTACATAGAACCTTCAAATTTGTCATAAAATGTTCTTGGAATATCGAGGATGGTTACAAGGTTGTAGAAAGCCATAATGAGCATAACCCCTGGAGAATCAAGAATGGTACCAGGGGGACAGAGAGTGAAAGTGATTGTAACTCCTGGAGTATCGAGGATGGTTCCTGGGGTACAGAGGGTGAAAGTGATTGTAACTCCTGGAGTATCGAGGATGGTTCCTGGGGTACAGAGGGTGAAAGTGATTGTAATTCCTGGAGTATCGAGGATGGTTCCAGGAGTACAGAGAGTGAAAGTGATTGTAACTCCTGGAGTATCGAGGATGGTTCCAGGGGTACAGAGAGTGAAAGTGATTGTAACTCCTGGAGTATCGAGGATGGTTCCAGGAGTACAGAGAGTGAAAGTGATTGTAACTCCTGGAGTATCAAGGATGGTTCCAGAGGTACAGAGGGTGAAAGTGATTGTAACTCCTGGAGTATCGAGGATGGATACAGGGGTACAGAGAGTGAAAGTGATTGTAACTCCTGGAGTATCGAGGATGGTTCCAGGGGTACGGAGAGTGAAAGTGATTGTAACTCCTGGAGTATCGAGGATGGTTCCAGGGGTACAGAGGGTGAAAGTGATTGTAACTCCTGGAGTATCGAGGATGGTTCCAGGGGTACAGAGAGTGAAAGTGATTGTAACTCCTGGAGTATCGAGGATGGTTCCTGGGGTACAGAGGGTGAAAGTGATTGTAACTCCTGGAGTATCAAGGATGGTTCCAGAGGTACAGAGGGTGAAAGTGATTGTAACTCCTGGAGTATCGAGGATGGATACAGGGGTACAGAGAGTGAAAGTGATTGTAACTCCTGGAGTATCGAGGATGGTTCCAGGGGTACGGAGAGTGAAAGTGATTGTAACTCCTGGAGTATCGAGGATGGTTCCAGGGGTACAGAGGGTGAAAGTGATTGTAACTCCTGGAGTATCGAGGATGGTTCCAGGGGTACAGAGAGTGAAAGTGATTGTAACTCCTGGAGTATCGAGGATGGTTCCTGGGGTACAGAGGGTGAAAGTGATTGTAACTCCTGGAGTATCGAGGATGGTTCCAGGTCTACAGAGAGTGAAAGTGATTGTAACTCCTGGAGTATCAAGGATGGTTCCAGAGGTACAGAGGGTGAAAGTGATTGTAACTCCTGGAGTATCGAGGATGGATACAGGGGTACAGAGAGTGAAAGTGATTGTAACTCCTGGAGTATCGAGGATGGTTCCAGGGGTACGGAGAGTGAAAGTGATTGTAACTCCTGGAGTATCGAGGATGGTTCCAGGGGTACAGAGGGTGAAAGTGATTGTAACTCCTGGAGTATCGAGGATGGTTCCAGGGGTACAGAGAGTGAAAGTGATTGTAACTCCTGGAGTATCGAGGATGGATACAGGGGTACAGAGAGTGAAAGTGATTGTAACTCCTGGAGTATCGAGGATGGTTCCAGGGGTACGGAGAGTGAAAGTGATTGTAACTCCTGGAGTATCGAGGATGGATACAGGGGTACAGAGAGTGAAAGTGATTGTAACTCCTGGAGTATCGAGGATGGTTCCAGGGGTACGGAGAGTGAAAGTGATTGTAACTCCTGGAGTATCGAGGATGGTTCCAGGGGTACAGAGGGTGAAAGTGATTGTAACTCCTGGAGTATCGAGGATGGTTCCAGGTCTACAGAGAGTGAAAGTGATTGTAACTCCTGGAGTATCAAGGATGGTTCCTGGGGTACAGAGGGTGAAAGTGATTGTAACTCCTGGAGTATCGAGGATGGTTCCTGGGGTACAGAGGGTGAAAGTGATTGTAACTCCTGGAGTATCAAGGATGGTTCCAGGGGCTAACTATGTTACTGGTCAATACTTTGGTGGTGTGGTGTAAACATTACCAATGACACACACAGGTAAACATTGTCATTGACACACACAGGTAAACATTACCAATGACACACACAGGTAAACATTACCATTGACACACACAGGTAAACATTACCAATGACATACACAGGTAAACATTGTCAATGAAACACACAGGTAAACATTACCAATGACACACACAGGTAAACATTACCAATGTCACACACAGGTAAACATTGTCAATGACACACACAGGTAAACATTGTCAATGACACTTACAGGTAAACATTGTCAATGACACACACGTTAACATTGTCAATGACACACACTGTCAATGACACACACAGGTAAACATTGTGAATGACACACACAGGTAAACATTGTCAATGACAAACACAGGTAAACATTATCAATGACACACATGGGTAAACATTGTCAATGACACACACAGGTAAACATTGTCAATGACACATACGGGTAAACATTGTCAATGACACATATGGGTAAACATTGTCAATGACACACACAGGTAAACATTAACAATGACACACACAGGTAAACATTACCATTGACACACACAGGTAAACATTACCAATGACACACACAGGTAAACATTGTCAATGACACACACAGGCAAACATTACCAATGACACACACAGGTAAACATTGTCAATGAAACACACAGGTAAACATTGTCAATGTAACACACAGGTAAACATTACCAATGACACACACAGGTAAACATTACCAATGTCACACACAGGTAAACATTGTCAATGACACACACAGGTAAACATTGTCAATGACACTAACAGGTAAACATTGTCAATGACACACACGTTAACATTGTGAATGACACACACTGTCAATGACACACACAGGTAAACATTGTGAATGACACACACAGGTAAACATTGTCAATGACACACACAGGTAAACATTGTCAATGACAAACACAGGTAAACATTATCAATGACACACACGGGTAAACATTGTCAATGACACACACGGTAAACATTGTCAATGACACATACGGGTAAACATTGTCAATGACACATATGGGTAAACATTGTCAATGACACACACAGGTAAACATTGTCAATGACACACACAGGTAAACATTGTCAATGAAACACACAGGTAAACATTGCCAATGACACATACAGGTAAACACTGTCAATGACACACACATTAACATTGTCAATGACACACACTGTCAATGACACACAAAGGTAAACATTGTGAATGACACCAGGGCTCGCGCTGGCGATCGCCAATGGCGCCATTGGCGAAAGTGAAATGAGATTGGCAATTTCAAATTTCTATTGGCGAAAATGCCGATTAGAGACATTTCCAGTCACCGATGACTGTATAGAGAAAAATCACTGGCGTTTAACTTATTTGTAACAAGTGACACAGGTAAATTTTGCTCCGACATCGTTGTGTACTACACGGTCACGGTTGACTGACTTCCGCAGCTGGGGCAAGGTCAGCTATCGGAACTCTTTTTGTGTTTTTGACAGCAACATTTACCTGTCTAAACAGCAACCCGCCTGTAATGAAAATCGCCAATTATCCAATGATGTCTCCATTGTCTCAATCCGAGATAGCCTCTGCCGTGAACAATAAGGTAAGTTAGCTGAATTAAAGATGTTGTTTTATCGGGAATTGGCTTACGGTAGGTGGATCATTAGGTGTGTCGATGTCGTTAATTGGGCACGAGTTTGTGATTTCTGCAGACATAACTTAGTAAACTAGTGCATTTGAAAGGGCCCGAAATAGGCTTCTTAACCTTTTTGATCGACTATTAAAATAGCAAGAAACACAAGATATAATTTTGTTGTTTTTACACTATGTTGCCGATTTTGTTTTATATTTTTGTACGTATTTTGGTCACATCAGATTTGGCCCTTCACTAAGATAGATCGTTAGATGAAATGGAAAACGTAAACTCCCCTTTAGTGATAGGGATGGGAAAGTACCCAGATTGTCATCATTTGGTTTTAAGACACCATCTATTGAAAAGGAAAATGACAGCCCTGATCAGGTTACTAACAAGGGCAGTAGTTCAAGAAAGCTCATGTTTTGTGACATATGTATGAAGGCATTAGTTAGAAATAGTTTCACTGATGGCTGCAGTAAGAAAGAGTGCTTGGTTAAGCATGAGAAAGGATCAGGTATATACAACTATTCATCATTTATGAACAGAAAATTATGTAAATTTAGATTAAGTAATTCAGAAATGCCTAGAGGATGGTACAATATAGTTACTCATTACAGCCTGCTTGGCACATGAATTAGAAACACAATCTTTTAGTTTAACGATTATGTCTTTATTATCTCTGAAGTGTTTTTAAGATATATATTACTTAGGAAGTTACTGTAATAAGTATAATACTTTGATGGTGTAAAATAAGGTTCGATGTAATCCTGTATCTCTCTGCAAACGTCCAATTCTATTCTAAATTTTATTTTCAATTTTACAGATGAGAACTCTCACTCTGCTGCTTTGGCAACACAACAGCAAACTGTCGAGATGCAGAAGGCCTGTAATAATTCCATGTTTATAAACTCTTTTACCATATACTGTGTTATGTTTGATGTATTGTTGTTAAAACAGTGAATAAATAATGTAATTATATAATTAGCATATGTGTTATTATTATATGAGGGAATTAAGGGCTCGTCGGGTGAGGGTGAGGGCAAGTTCCGGAATCTGTTCGCGCGCTTATAGCAAAAAAAATTTGGTTTGGCGAAACTGAATTTTGACCCAGAGCTAGCCCTGGACACACACAGACACAGGTAAACTTTGTGAATGACACACACAGGTAAACATTGTGAATGACACACACAGGTAAACATTGTGAATGACACACACAGGTAAACATTGTCAATGACACACACAGGTAAACATTGTCAATGAAACACACAGGTAAACAATGTCAATGACAAACACAGGTAAACATTATCAATGACACACTCAGGTAACCATTGTCAATGACACACAGGTTATTATTGTCAATGAAACACACAGGTAAACATTGTCAATGACACACAGGTAAACATTGTCAATCTCAAAGAATTATTGTTACCTGTTTTGGGAATCATCAACTTCTATGAGTTTCGGTTCTTCTTTAGTTTCATCGACCTACAATGAAGACAAGTTTCATATCAGCTGCAGTCAGTGACATTTTCCACAAAAATGTTCTTATTAAAGAATTAATAAATCAAGTCTAAACAGCTAAAGTTTGTATCTAGGATAAAACCTTGAGGCAGAACAACATATGCCCGTCCCATGCCAAAAAAATATTCATGATTTTTTGTATCAAAAAAATTCAAACAAGGAAGTGGTAATGTAGAAACATTGGGAGGGAAAACAAGTTACAAAGAAATTGAAAACTAAGAACTCAGGACAAAACTAATACCAGGAAAACAAGAAGGGCTAGTAACACTTTCAATCAAATCAAATAACCGTTCCAGAAAATGCCAAGTTAGCTTAGCTTACCAGGTTTGAAATAAATCAGTTGTAAACACAGAGAAGAGATTACAGACAACATGCATTATGAAAACAAGGGACAATAACTCTTCCCAGAATGAAAATGTCACAAATTCACAACCTAACATGTCATAGTAAAGAAAATATAGAGTTTGATATTATCTCCAACGTCCTGCTGGAGAATTTCCCCATAGCAAAAAGCAGCACTAGCTTAATAACCATTCAAAAGTTTTGTGTAATGATCTTGAATGGTTTCAGAACACTAGTGCGGAAAATGACCCTGCAAGGACAAATAGAGAGATGGAGTCCAATTGAATATCCCCTAACAATTTAGAGATGGAGCCCAATTGAATATCCCTCAACAACTTGCAGGGGATAAATAAGTCCAAGTTTAAAGATATCAGTTGAAATTGTGAGAGGGTATCGCCAAACAAATACAAGAGATCCCAGAGGGATCTTGGCGCCCACCATTTGAGGATCTGTTTTCAGTTCTTGAAGATTTGTTTATTTTTTTTTTGTTTGTTACAGGTGTTGTAAATGTTCATGAACTGGTCTTCATTGAATGTACTCAATGATGGCACAAGATATTTTTATTAAGCACCTATTAGCAAATATCATTTGAAAAAGATCCCAAAGTATTATTAGATAGCAGTCAGTTACAGGTGGATAATGGACAATATGCTTGTGCTGTATTACTGTCGACATCCAAGATGGCTGCCTGTGGGCCACCTTGATTTCAAATCAGTGCAAAAAAGGTACAATGCACAATTTGGGACCAAGGGAAACCAATATCTATGAAATATCAGAAGATTCCATCCAGTACTTCCTCAGATATAGCAGTAACAAGATTTTACTCTCAAAATCCAAGATGGCTGCATGTCAGCCATCTTGATTTCGGATCAGTCCAAAAAGGTATAATGCACAACTTGGAACCAAAGGGAAACTGCATATGAAATTTGAGGAAGATCCATCCAGTACTTTCTCAGAAATAGCGGTAACAAACTTTTACTTCCAAAATCCAAGATGGCCACCTGTCGGCCATCTTGAATTCGAATCAGTCCAAAAAAGGTACAATGCACAACAAGGGACCAAGGGGAAACTGCATATGAAATTTGAGAAAGATCCATCCAGTACTTTCCAAGAAATAGCAGTAACAATCTTTTACTTCCAAAATCCAAGATGGCTGCCTGTCGGCCATCTTGAATTCGAATCAGTCCAAAAAAGGTACAATGCACAACTAGGGACCAAGGGGAAACTGCATATGAAATTTGAGGAAGATCCATCCAGTACTTTCTCAGAAATAGCGGTAACAAACTTTTACTTCCAAAATCCAAGATGGCCACCTGTCGGCCATCTTGAATTCGAATCAGTCCAAAAAAGGTACAATGCACAACTAGGGACCAAGGGGAAACTGCATATGAAATTTGAGAAAGATCCAACCAGTACTTTTCCAGAAATAGCGGTAACAAACTTTTACTTCCAAAATCCAAGATGGCCACCTGTCGGCCATCTTGAATGCTAATCAGTTCAAAAAAGGTACAATGCACAACTAGGGACCAAGGGGAACCTGCATATGAAATTTGAGAAAGATCCATTCAGTACTTTTCCAGAAATAGCGGTAACAAGAATTGTTTACGGACGGACGTTGGACAGACGACGAACCACAGACGCAGGGCCATTTGAATAACCCACCATCTATTAGATGGTGGGCTAAAAATGTGACAAAAAAACAACAACAACACAGACAGACAGACAGCCATTCATTAATATCAGTAGATCATACTAAACAACGCATACTAAACAACGTAATTCATCAATATCTGATATCAGAAGACCATACTAAACAACGTAGTTCATTAATATCTGATATCGGTAGACCATACTAAACAACGTAGTTCATTAATATCTAATATCAGTAGACCATACTAAACAACGTAGTTCATTAATATCTGATGTCAGTAGACCATACTAAACAACGTAATTCATTAATATCTAATATCAGTAGACCATACTAAACAACGTAGTTCATTAATATCTGATGTCAGTAGACCATACTAAACAACGTAATTCATCAATGTTGTACATTAACAGATGATCCTGAACATCATAATAAATTAATGATAAGTGGATCACAGTAAACATGATAAACCATTGATATCATGTCAATTGATCACAGTAAACATCATAAACCATTGATATCATATGTCAATTGATCATAGTAAACATCATAAACCATTGATATCATATGTCAATTGATCATAGTAAACATCATAAACCATTGATATCATATGTCAATTGATCATAGTAAACATCATAAACCATTGATATCATATGTCAATTGATCATAGTAAACATCATAAACCATTGATATCATATGTCAATTGATCATAGTAAACATCATAAACCATTGATATCATATGTCAATTGATCATAGTAAACATCATAAACCATTGATATCATGTCAATTGATCATAGTAAACATCATAAACCATTGATATCATGTCAATTGATCATAGTAAACATCATAAACCATTGATATCATATGTCAATTGATCATAGTAAACATCATAAACCATTGATATCATGTCAATTGATCATAGTAAACATCATAAACCATTGATATCATATGTCAATTGATCATAGTAAACATCATAAACCATTGATATCATATGTCAATTGATCATAGTAAACATCATAAACCATTGATATCATATGTCAATTGATCATAGTAAACATCATAAACCATTGATATCATGTCAATTGATCATAGTAAACATGATAATCCATGGATATCATATGTCAATTGATCATAGTAAACATCATAAACCATTGATATCATATGTCAATTGATCATAGTAAACATCATAAACCATTGATATCATATGTCAATTGATCATAGTAAACATCATAAACCATTGATATCATATGTCAATTGATCATAGTAAACATCATAAACCATTGATATCATATGTCAATTGATCATAGTAAACATCATAAACCATTGATATCATGTCAATTGATCATAGTAAACATGATAAACCATGGAGATCATATGTCAATTGATCATAGTAAACATCATAAACCATTGATATCATATGTCAATTGATCATAGTAAACATCATAAACCATTGATATCATATGTCAATTGATCATAGTAAACATCATAAACCATTGATATCATATGTCAATTGATCATAGTAAACATCATAAACCATTGATATCATATGTCAATTGATCATAGTAAACATCATAAACCATTGATATCGTATGTCAATTGATCATAGTAAACATCATAAACCATTGATATCGTACATCAGTAGATCATACTTAACATTGTTATTTATTGATAACAGAGCAGTGTAATTTCAGAAGAAAACTTGTTTTTCTTCAGTCATGATTGGCATCATAAAACAAAGTCCTGATAATAAAAATTGACACAAACCTTTTCTGTACATTCATCGAAGAAGGCAAGACTAGCATCTTTGTCTGACACGAAAGATCGCTCCTCAATGAATCGGATGAAAGTCTGAGTTTTAGTAAGCTGACTGTAGAACTTCATATTAGCTTTGTCTCTACTCTTTAAAAACCCTGAAAATATACGCAGGTAGCTTTCAAGAACTGCAATGTTCACACTGTTACAAAACAATATAATGGCAAAGTTTCTTTGAATGAGGAAATTTGAAGAAAGATGACGCAACCCTTGTTTCACAACCATAAAAATATAACAAAACTTTTCCTAAGGGACATTATTTCAATCCACCAGTCTTTATAAATTTTAATAATTTCTTAATGTAATGGGCATTTAAATATGAAATACACAAACAGCCCATAGCTACTCCATTGTTCATACGATAACCTTGTTTTGGGGTTATTTCATTGTAGGACTAGAGTTCTATCTCAAATGATCTATTCACATTTTTTGCAAAACAGATTGAGAAAAACTTATTGTCTTGTAATTTATCTACAAGTTGAAAGTTTGGGACTATAAAAAGGAAAATTGCTGTGAGGTTTCGTGTATGCTTTGGTCCCTTAGAGTACTACTTGACAGGTAAGACCTGAATTCACAGCTTTGATCCGCTAGACTACTACTTGACAAGTAAGACCTGAATTCACAGCTTTGGTCCGCTAGACTACTACTTGACAAGTAAGACCTGAATTCACAGCTTTGGTCCGCTAGACTACTACTTGACAAGTAAGACCTGAATTCACAAAGTACATAACTATGAATCACAAACCTTGCATGTCGAAAAGAGATGTTGTGTCTGTGGTACTTTGAGTAGGAGCACGGGTGATAGGTTTTAGGAATTGCTTGTATCCCTTTAGGAGGCAGGCCATGAAACGCAGAAAAGCTTCCTGAATCTGTAGTTCCATGAGCGTCTGAAATATTTGGTACATTTACCAAGCAGTCATGGATCCTTTTACACTGACATTTCTCTCCATCTTATCAAACTTAGAGAAGATATAACACAGGATATCTATACAGTGAGATCTCTTTATACAAACTACTATTACTGCAGTAATAACACACGGAAGCATAAAGACTACTGGAGTTATAACACACAGAAATATCCATCAAAGAATCTACTGACACAAGACACAACACATAATATCTACAAGATATATTCATAAACACTACTGGAGTTATAACACACAGAAACATATACACTACTGGAGTTATAACACACAAGACATAAACACTACTGGAGTTATAACACACAGAAACATAAACACTACTGGAGTTATAACACACAGAAACATAAACACTACTGGAGTTATAACACACAGAAACATAAAGACTACTGGAGTTATAACACACAGAAACATAAACACTACTGGAGTTATAACACACAGAAATAATAAACACTAGTGGAGTTATAACACACAGAAACATAAACACTACTGGAGTTATAACACACAGAAACATAAACACTACTGGAGTTATAACACACAGAATGATCTATTACAGAATCCACCGACACAAGACACAACACATGATATTTACAAAGCAAGATCACTTCATAGAAACTACTTTTAAACTTACTGTAGTTGTAACACACTATAACATATGCACTGCCTCACACACTCGTGCTTAAAATTTGCCTGGTTTTACGTAATCATTATTGTATCAATATGTTTGCCTAAATCTGACGCATATTTACCTCCCTTCGTTTGCGTTTGAAGTCATGATCAATGGGTGCCATCTCAAGTGAGATTTCATCTATGTTGTGTGTGTGTGAACGCTGGGCACACAGCTCATCATACAGTCGGTACAGAGTGTTATGTAAGACTCGGACAGCTTTCTGTAAACAGTCCATGTCAATTTCTCATGACTGAAATTTCAATATTCTATCTTCCTTCCATAGATATAAGTCAATCTGTACAATACATACATTTATCAACTGGAAAATGATAGTTTACTTTAACTGATTAAAGTATCTATGCTGATAACATCCAAAAGCATGAGTACAGTAAATATTAAATGTTTCAGATGTAAAGCATCACCAGAATAGATGTTACACTCGAGTGAATTTCAGCACACATAGCCCCTACAGGAATGTTAATTCCAGCACACAAAGCCTCTACATTATATTCTAAATGAGCACAGATAGACCCCCAGGAATGTTATTTTCAGCACAGATAAACCCCCCCCCCCCACCCTCTGCCCAGGAATGTTATTTTCAGCACAGATAACCCCCCCTGCCCAGGAATGTTAATTTCAGCACAGATAATCCCCCCTGCCCAGGAATGTTAATTTCAGCACAGATAATCCCCCCCCTGCCCAGGATTGTTAATTTCAGCACAGTTAACCCCCCCCCCCCCCCCCTGCCCAGGAATGTTAATTTCAGCACAGATAACCCACCCCTGCCCAGGAATGTTAATTTCAGCACAGATAATCCCCCCCTGCCCAGGATTGTTAATTTCAGCACAGTTAACCCCCCCCCCCTGCCCAGGAATGTTAATTTCAGCACAGATAACCCCCCTGCCCAGGAATGTTAATTTCAGCACAGATAACCCTGCTGCCCAGGAATGTTTATTTCAGCACAGATAACCCCCCTGCCCAGGAATGTTAATTTCAGCACAGATAACCCCACTGTCCAGGAATGTTAATTTCAGCACAGATACTATCCAGGTAAGTTTATTGTAGTACAGATTTTATACAGATAAGTTAACTTCAGCACAGATAGGTAAGATTCCTGGGTTTTTACTGACCTTGGGGAACTGTTTATGAGAAGTGTTCTTTTTGTCATCAGGACTGGAACATATACAATTATGGTATTATACATTTTGTTTCTTACATCAATACTTCACAAGTCTGTCCAGGTGACAGGTTTTAACAACATAATTTAGATTTAAATTCAAATTTTCTCTTGTATATAGACCATCAAACACAATTTGAAACCACAATACTCTATATTTTCTGTAGCAGGTATTGTCTCAGAATCGTAGAATTTTATGTAGTGATATGTTTTGTTAAATGTATACACAAATCATAGGATTTCATTCAATGTAGTTAATATACAGAAATCAAAATATTTCAAGATTATTTCCAAAAATATCTGACTACAGGTTCAATAATTTACACTTACAGAAATATCGCCACTGTGTCTAGATCAACACAGATCACCTCAGGTGGCGGGTCGTAAAGGTCAAAGTAACGAGTGTCCACACCTACAGCCATTAAATAACCATCATCATTTTCTGTTTGATCAATTATAAAGATTCGTGTGTGTTTTGTTTATTACCAGACTTCCCCAATATCTAAATAGTAAGGTGTTGGTACAGTAAACATGTTTTATATTCCTGTAAATGTATTGAGATTAAAGATTTCCACATTTTTAGGTCTGTAACACGACCTGAATACGAAGGTAAGCCCTTGTAATGGAATTTTTGAGTTTATCATTTAATGTTTAATATGTTTCATTTCAGAAAAGAATATCTGTAGCAAATTACGATGTTTTAACACATGAAGTTTCAACAAGGTCTACTTATCAATGATTATCTTACCGACAATAAATGGAACTGGTGCACTAAGGACATAGGAGAGTCCCAGTGGACACAAAGGAATGTAGGCACACTGCCAGTGTAGGGGAAACAGTATCTGTTGAACAATGAACAGAAATACAAAAGCTCAAATAACAATCCATATTTTCTAAACTAGAGACTGAAAAAGACCTCCAGCGTACCAAATATTTCTATGATAATAAAGCTCTTTTACTATAAGTTGACTTCAGTCTTTATCAGAAAGTACTTCTTAATGTTGTCTTTCTAGAGTGCAGATTTAAGTCTATCAAGATATATCACAATAAGTTCGAACTTTCTGTTTTTAGAATTTCTGGTAATTGGGTCATGGCGGCCATACTGGATTATTTGACCTACTTAAAAATGCGGCATTAACAAGTTCCATAACATACTATATAGGTTGCATGTCTATCCCTCACCGATTAAAAGATTACGAACCCACAAATTTAGAATAATAATAATAATAAGAAACATAACAAAACCAATAGTTTTTTTTACCTTTTGGTGAAAAGCCCTAACAACAGCACTTACATTAGCCACCGACTCTGCCACAGCGGTGAGAACTGCTGGCCGTAAGGAATGGAAGAGGATCTTTTGCTCCAACAAGACATGTAGTAGTAGGTCCATACATTTTTCAGGTCCCAGGTTCTTCAGCATAGTAATATACGAAGCACCACTAAAACAGATACAAAGGTTCCTGTGTTCACACATGCATTTTTTTTTTATTTTCTTCCGTAACACCAAGTATATGCAATAAGTATGTCATTGACATATAAAGTTTACTTTTGAAATAAAATCACTATTCATTTCAGATGCTGTTTTAATTCTAATTGCAAAGTCTGTTGTTTTATTTTTCTGCGAGTTCCTGATAAAACTAACAGAAATCACAGTCATATGATGTAAATATAGTAGGGACATCAATTGAAATATACATTTACAGATTCATCTGATTCACTGTTCTATATTTAGTAATATTTGTTTTCCTGTCAGAAATGGTAGGAAACGTTCAGAAGGCCATGAAAAGGTAGGGAAATACGCTTAGAGATTCATCTGATTCAGTGTTTTGTATTCAGTAATATTTGTTTCCCTGTCAGAAATGGTAGGAAACGTTCAGAAGGCGTTAATACACTACTGTTCTGGTAATGTCTTACAAATCAGTACAGAACAGTTCTGAAAATGGCCTCGATTTTATCAATATGACAAACTTAACCATGAAAAGGTAGGAAATTTCCTCATCTTTTTGTCTTGGTATATGAACTCGGTTTTGAAGAATGGGAGAATAACACGAAAACCTCTTATGGAATTGTAAGTATTTCTCCAGTGTTGTGTATCGTTGATGTAGCAATAAAAAAGTCTACAGGCCATTACTTACATTATCCTGATCTTATAATACAAAAGAAATATGCATGCATTAATTATTTGCTTCTAATTGATCATCATTGAACTGGGAGACTGACTTACGTCTGTGGTAATGGTGAATCCTCAGGCATAGACAAACACAGGGCCTCGTGATTCAGCTGTAACCAAGGACAATTCATTCAAGAAGGCAAACAGATTAATCCGATTAACTCTGCAAGACTTACTTATTACAGAGTATAAGCAAAAATTCAGACTGTTCGTACCATTAAAGTATCTATAAGGAAACATTTAACAACATTATGACAGGGACAGCGAAACATTACATCTTCTATACACAACTGAATTTAGTGGTTATGACAAACTTGTGTGAGAAAATAGATAAACTTTCCAATTCAAATGAACTAACATTACTGACATTCAGATTATTTATTGCAATTCTGAGAAATGATACAGTTGTTGATTGGTTGTGAAAAAAGGAGTGTGGATCTAGGAAACTTGCCTGGACCAGAATGCGAGGCCTCTGAGGAGAAGGGTACGGAACATCATACATGAAGTGGGAAATATGTCTGTAAAAGGAAAGAAATTGTGTATGACCAGTAACAATAACACTTTCAATCAAGAAACAAGCTCTTACTGGTTAATAGTCATCTTCAACAGAAATAATTTTGGATATTTACAAACAACAGTATTGTTACCTCTCCAGGGGCACAGAGTGGGGTCCCGTGATGGAAATGCGGTACAGATATATCAGGAACTTGCGGAAAGCATCAAAGAAGGGCCAATGGGAAAGCAAGCAGATACTTTTGTGAGCATGTACAGTTTTCAGGATGCGGTACTGTTCCCGAATGTGTTTGTTCTTAAGTCCAAGATGGCGTTTTTGAAGATCTGTGAGTCTTTCTTCTGGAAATTCTTCATAGAATGTTACAGCAGCACCATAAAGCTAAAACACAAAATCAATCCCAGTCACATTTGTCCCTAGTATCGTAAAAGTTGATATCCTAAGTTAACATTTGTCCCTAGTAAAGCATAAGCTGATATCATAAATTTACATTTGTCCCAAGTGCAGATTAAGTTGACATTCAAAGTTTACATTTGTCCCTAGTGCTGTATAGGTTGATATTCAAAGTTTACATTTGTCCCTAGTGTTGTATAAGTTGGTATTCTAAATTTACATTCTAGTGTGGTATAAGCAGATACTGTATGTTTTTTTTATTTTTCTCTTCAATAATCAGGAAATCATGTTCCAATTATTATGTGAATCAACACTTGATAACAAGGATTTGAGAGTGACAGGATGGGCATGCCTGATATTAGGCTACATGTATGATAAAATTTAGAAATTTAATAAAAATTTTCTGCTGAAATTGTCGCTTAACATTTTGGATAAATACTCCTGATTTCTGAGTAATTTGACACTGAAGTTAAGACAGATAATTAATATCTTATATATGATTGCAGTATTTTTTTAATTTGACATTAGTTAAATATTTGCTATCATCTGATCCAAATATTTCCTAACTTCACTAAAAACTTGCTATCATTTGTCAGGTACTTTACTCTTACTAGCATACCTGTTCACCAGCTGACCCTGTCAGTACAAATGTGGAGAAAACTGGCAGAGGATGTTGGGCTTTCGCAGACCAACACTCTATGGAGGCCCCCATGGGTAGACAGAATAGAGGAACTGACTCTGGCAGTGGGAAACTCAAATAGTCCTCTCTCGGGTACCGATCCAAACAGGCTGCAAGTTTCAAAAAATAAATTTGTGACTACAATATACAGAAATCTGATCTTTTGATGCATCTTTATCAAATTCTTCAGCAGTTTACAGAATGATACCAGTTCTGTCTAATCTTACCTGGCTGATAGGCCAGAACATCCATCTTAGTCATTGCCTTTTTGTAACAGAGGAAGACATCAGATCCCACCTATGACAAAGAAATATTTAGACTCATCAATTCCAAATATAACTAAAACTGTTGTGTGTGGGCCAACAGAATTCTCAAAGGGAAATAACTTTCCCAGAAGGGGAGGTAACTTAATCTGATATAGATTACATACATCTATGATGCATAAGGGTTATAGCGAGGAAGTATAGTTGAAATCGGTTTAGGAACAGTAGCTGGTAAATTGCTGTGTTTTCAGACGGATAGACAACTTGATTCCAGTATACATACCCTGTTCTCCCCCCCCCCCCATCCCTTATGTTTGTTTGGGGATAATTAGTTTTTAATATTCATACATAAGTCTCCATATCAACAGATGAAATTCACATTTTTTATCCCATTTTACAGCATTATTTGTCTAACAAAAGTTACGAAATTATCAAAACCAACACAACTGTTTCCAAAAAGTATAAAAATCTGGAAAATATCAGATTCTATAATGTAAGAGAAATACATGGGTTAAGTAAATACTTAGGTGTGTTCTTTTCAAAAATGACAGATTTTACATGACTGAGCCAGCATAACTCCCAGCCTAGAGAGAAAACCAATAACAAGGTGATTTAGGCAAAAAGACCATGAAGAAAGGAGGAGGTAAGAACATAAACAATACACTATCAATAGAAGATTCATCGATATGTATTGGAAACTAATGTTTTTCAAACTAAAGAACAATGTGTACCAACCATTCCTCTGTTAAGATTCTTCTCGATTCTGTGATAAGCATGAGGTTGTTTTTCTCCCTGTAAATAACAAGTAAAATCTGACATATCTACATGGAAATAAACACTGTGCTTGACAATAACTATAAATATACTTCATTGTGTCTGGAGTCCACAGATTTGAGTGACATGCTTAAATGATATACAGATAACTGTATAACTTATACTAACACACTGTTTTCAGAAAATTAAATAAAATAAAAAATATGATTAAATCCTTCATCACAACAGCAATACAAAGTTTCCAAGAAAAGCAAAATGGAATGGCACTGTTTTTGATTCGACAGTAACTCAGAACAAGAGTTCCACAAGCGTTACAAAATACACCTGTCCTAAGTTGAGCAGCCATAACTGGATGAATTTCAGGCAGATAAATTTTGGTTTCTAGGTTGTAAAATTTATTTCCAAGATTAGCTACTGAATTTCCATCAAGTTAACAGATTGTGCAAAAACTGCTAAGACAATTTGAAGCAAAGGATATTTTTGATTCGTAGGAAGGATTACTGACAAATTTGAGGGGAAAACTATTTTGCAAATGTACCAAGGGCCTTAACTCTGTAAATAATGGGTGACAAATTTTGGTTATCAAACTTGACCTGGCTTTTATGGTAATAAACCTTTATGTGAAGTTTCAAATTAATCTGTTAGAAATTATTCAAGTTATCGAACAGAGACCTATATGCGCCGCTCTCCTGCCTGCTACCTGCCCGCGTGAAAACATAACATGTCCCATCTTTCAACAGGCATATAAAAATCCCTTGACTAGCTTCATAGGCATTCATTTACCAAAGCCTGTGTGTCAGTACAACACAGATATCTATCACTGCCAGTATGTCCGTACAACACAGATATCTATCACTGCTAGTGTGTCAGTACAACACAGATATCTACCATTTCCGGTTTGTCAGTACAACACAGATATCTACCATTTCCAGTTTGTCAGTACAACACAGATATCTATCACTGCCACTGTGTCAGTACAACACAGATATCTATCACTGCCAGTGTGTCAGTACAACACAGATATCTATCACTGCCAGTGTGTCAGTACAACACAGATATCTATCACTGCCAATGTGTCAGTACAACACAGATATCTACCATTTCCGGTTTGTCAGTACAACACAGATATCTACCATTTCCAGTTTGTCAGTACAACACAGATATCTATCACTGCCACTGTGTCAGTACAACACAGATATCTATCACTGCCAGTGTGTCAGTACAACACAGATATCTATCACTGCCAGTGTGTCAGTACAACACAGATATCTATCACTGCCAATGTGTCAGTACAACACAGATATCTATCACTGCCAGTGTGTCAGTACAATACAGATATCTATCACTGCCAGTGTGTCAGTACAACATAGATATCTATCACTGCCAGTGTGTCAGTACAACAGATATCTATCACTGCCAGTGTGTCAGTACAACAGATATCTATCACTGCCAGTGTGTCAGTACAACATAGATATCTATCACTGCCAGTGTGTCAGTACAACACAGATATCTATCACTGCTAGTGTGTCAGTACAACACAGATATCTACCATTTCCAGTTTGTCAGTACAACACAGATATCTACCATTTCCAGTTTGTCAGTACAACACATATATCTATCACTGCCAGTGTGTCAGTACAACACAGATATCTACCATTTCCAGTGTGTCAGTACAACACATATCTACCATTTCCAGTTTGTCAGTACAACACAGATATCTTCCACTTACCTTGTTGGTGAGTACAACACAGATATCCACAACAGCCAGAGTGTCACTGGCAGCTGTTTCCTTTGCCCTGCGATATGTGATGTAGGTACGACCATTACTACTGTTGTTGACATTGGCTGGGCTTCCAAATGGTGTTGTATGTACCACTTCGCATTCAGACATTAGACGCTCTTTCCCCTCATACAGAACACTGAAGAATCAGACAAACTAGTTACCATCAAAAATATTCTTTCAATACTTTCTGATAAAAAAGTGCTACATTTTTATAACAATGTTTTAATGGGTATCTGAGAGTAGATAAATCCTTGGGATTTTCCACATGGGAAATAAGTATAGTATACTCTATTTACAAGACTGATATAATATGAAATTTTAAAAATCATATTGGCTTATTAGTTGTTCAAGCCTTTAAGCATGATCTTCACTCTTGTTTTCTTATCCATACTTACAAAGAGAGTTTAAACTTACCACTAGAATTCATCATAAAAAGCTATCTCTACAATAGTCCCTGTTGCTTCATATCAAAGTTTTCACAAATTTTTTCAATTATCATATAATGTTCAGAAAGGTATTTCAAATGTCTATTTGATGAATCATGTAGGAAACTAGATCTTGTAAGACCATGGTGGTAGGCCTACTGAAAATGAAACTAAAATACATACATCTGGTTTAGAATTATGTCAGAAATCAGTTACCTTTTCAAATGAAATTGACAGCATATTTGGAAGAGCAAGATTAAAATCTTGGGTAGATAAACGGCCTATAAGATTTTTTCTTCTATATTACACTGATAGAATACCAGAAATAGAAGATATCTAAACTTCAAAAGTATGGATGAAGGGAGATCGATAGAACATTGCAGATGAAAAAATATATATTTTTTAAAACAAATTGTGTTATATCAAATCTTCTTCTCCCTAAATATCTCACCCTACATCTGTGAGAGACTGTGTTATACAAAATCTTCTTCCCCAATATCTTACCCTACATCTGTAAGAGGTGTTTTGTCTCTACTCCTGCGGAAACACAGATACATTTCTGCACATCGCAAACTGCCATGGTTGAGATCGGCAGGAAACCCGTCAACTGTTCTCTCGAGACAGGTAAATCCTTTAGGAACTTTTTCTCCTAGTGTCTTGTTGATAACGCTGATGTCTGTGATAGGATCCTGTTTGTAGGTTGGTTTTATGACCGCTTCATTTGCATACTCCTCCAGGGGCAACGGGTTCTCCGGTAAACCAGCTACGATGAAGTAGTCTGCAACTCGACGCTCGTCCATTATCTGTAAATATTACAAGAATTTTACAACATCATTCATGATATGATTAAAACTTTAATTTGAATGACATCACATAAGCCTTAAGTTACATACAGTTACTACCATCTTAAATGACATCCAGGTCGTCCAGTGGCGTAGTGGTAATGCACTTGTATTTTATCTAGCCATCCGGGGTTCATTTCCCTGAACAGATGTGAAAAGAGAGGGGGTCACCTGCCTGACCATGTGGGTTTTCAAGTTCTCTGGTTTCCTTCCACAGTAAGACCTCTCACTCATACTTACATCCAAGCCATCAAGAGTGATTAATATAAATTAAAATAGCTTATTTGACAATTTGGGTAAAATAAATAAATGAAGTTTATATCTTATATCTAAATGACCAATGCACTCTGCAAATACCAGCACGATAAACAAGAAACACAACTATTGAGAAAATCTGATACTTCAATTGTCTATGAAATTGAGTATTTTGAAATCAGACAAAAATCTTCAGACAAATTATAAAAATACATATTAATGCATCTGGTGATAAACATCCGAGTTTACAATATCAATAAACTTAATTATAAATGTTACCAATTTTTTAAGCTTACTTGTACTTCTTCTCCAGTGTTCAGTGTATCCTAGGGTAGGTAAGTCATGCTCAACCCCAATAGTAGACAATTATTTTGGTTTTATCTGTTAAAGCTTTAGACAGAGCTAACTTCTCACATCCTGTGCTAATTTTAATATCCTCAGTAGAAACAACTACATCACAAGTCATCAGCCAATAGAAGAAACTTTGGTCCTACGTGGCTCAACCATTGTGTCCTCTTGTCTTCAACAGCATAGTTAGAATTTCTTGATTTTGTCTGAAAATGAATGATTCATTATATATCTACTTGGCAAAGAACTGTTGGTGTCCTGTATATGCCTTATGAAGATAATGCATTTGACAAAAGAAGTTTAAAGATTATATCAAACAACACAGCAAAATTTAGACTTGCAATATGAATAATAGATACTGATAATATTTGTTATCAGATGTAAACAAAGATATTTGCTTGACAGTTGTAAAAGCAAAGATAAATTCTATGTGAGTCAGACAAGGTCAAAGGGTCATTTACCATAATGACTCATGAAAAAAGAGAATACACATTGAATAAAATTCCATCATCTGTCCTCATCATCACAGTTTGAATTTTCAAACAAAAGGTTTGTGGACTTCGGAATGGAAGTAAAAGACTGCAGGCAACTTCTTAATGTCAATGAATTTTCATCAATTAGGAATACATATATCATACAATTAAATAAACAAAAGCAGTGTATTCTTATTATGAAAATATAATACATATCTATAATATACAGTACCACAATAATTTAATTCGTCAACATGTTTTTGTTTTTTTCCTGGCCACTAATAACTTGAACATTTAAGCTTTAATGTGTAAAACTGCACATCTGTATATGTTTTCCCATGTCTAAAAAGGTTAATTTATCCAAAATGGTTGAAATATATTACAGCTGGTGTAAAGGAGATTCCTTTGTCACATAGCATTCATACATCTTCATCAATTCATCAAATTGTACCTTCCCACTATAGATTCTGGACAACATGCTATGACTAATAAGGTAGTCTCAGTAGCGAGTGGTATATTCAGTTATCCATTTTTCTAATGAGCACTACTACAGCACAATAATAACTGGGATTGATGTATGTTTATTATATGTTGTTACAGTGATCTTTGGGGCTAAGAAATGTGAGTCATAAACTCATGCTTTTCCTATGGGACTGATTCAAGTTTCGAAACCCCATTACATCTCTTGCTATTGGGGCTCAACAAACCTTTGGATTGGTGTTTTAGATTTGCCTAAAAAATTGAGTTTAAAGTTACCATTAAATGAAAAAGAAATACTAGATATTTGATTTTTTTGGCAACACCCTAAATAAACAATAACTGTAAAAAATTAAATAAATGTTAACATAAAATGGAAACATATTTTAGTTTTGGTATGTGACATATAGTTTGTTAACTGTTCGAATCTGAAATGGGGTGGGGAGGAGGGGGGTACCAAAATGTTCAAATCTGAAATGGGGTGGGGAGGAGGGGGGTACCAAAAAGAGGGAGGGGATAGGGGTTAGCAGAGCGAGATGATTCCTTAGAGACAAAGAACCTGGGTTGTGGTTGTCTTCACATCTTCAGAGACAATGTCTGTGAGGGATTGGGTAGCGTAGAAGTTGAGAGTATAGTACACTTTACAGTATTGGCTACTGTGAATTTCTTTTTTGTCAAGCATTTTCGTTGAAATTTTCAATGAAAACATGACTGGTAATTGCCAAAATTTCTTGAATTATCTGAAATGAGTCCACAAAACCTTTCTTGGCCATTATTGCATTTTAAACAAGTGAAACACAGTTTTTTGTTGAAATGGAACTTAATAACTGCATCATATTTGAAGAAAGAAATTACCCCACCAACACCCTTAGTGGTTTCCATTAATCTTAAAAGTTGGTTTTATACTCAAAAATGTTTCAGTTAAATTTACTTGTAGAATCCATACATGCCCACTAGGCCTGTAGTATTTGTGATGTTACGAAACACTTGCTTATACAGAAATCAATGCTTAATTTATCATAATGTGCGATGCTGGACATTCACAACACACTAAAACTGAGTCATTGAACGATTGTCATTTCTGGTATCGATAGGAAACCTCATTGATACACATTGTGTATAGTTCGACACTAAATCCGATATGGACCTGGATAATGAGAATTCAATTAATTATTTTGTCAGCGTCAGAATCAAACCAAATATAAATATTCATTTTCTGAAATCTGCTATAAACCATCATTTTTATAACAAAATGAAAAATTAATAAAATAAAAAGTTTAGTATCCACGTGCATTAAGTGTACCATGCGCTAATGCGACACGTAGATCACCGAGCAGGAGATACGTGGTCATGTGGTGTTTTCATCCCAGACTGTGCCAATGAAAAATGTGTGTACGAATATTACACGGCATGTCAACAAAACATACATTGCGTCTACTGTTAGCGCCTCTGTTGAATAAAGCATGGCATTAACGACATCACTTCAAAACAATGTTTTGTAAGAATGCATCCCATGTTCTCTGACGACCAAAGAGAAGACGCACAGCAGACATGGTAGACACTTACGGATATTTACAAGGTTTGTCATGAACATATATCCGCCATATTGAATCAATATTCCTACGCACAAATAGTCCGTTAGTGACATTTAAATATCAACTGCGATGTACGGTAATCTAAAATATAAACAAGATCACGCTCTATACACACTAAGTGTGTAAATAACATATTAAAATCAAACCATATCTTGTATCCTACTTTAGATGCAGATCGTCAAAATAAACAAGAACTATATTCTATCTCTGTCATGCGGAAATATCCAGGCAGGTGGCAGGAGGGAGTTGTCTCGGTTGACACCTCCCTGCCTCATCAGCCCGTTCGAAAGCTTGTGACTTTAAAATGCCCACAATGAACAGACAGTTGTAATGAAGTGTGCTTAAATGTGTCGTTGTTTGTGTGTCTCTCTGAAATATTTCCTTTAACACAAGGTTTACTATCATTTGGCATGAGGGGAAAAAAACTCGCTTATCAGTTCGATTAAAAATAACTTTCTGAAAGGAAATATCACTAATTGTAATCGATATTTTTTTAAAGTCCTCTATTTCTCATATTCATATTTCAAATCGCATTATCTAAGGAGTTCACGTTAAGGAATAACTTCAATAAATGGTCTGAAACTCTTAAAAGAAAACATTACACTGCAGAAATAAACAGCTTTAGAAATATGACGAACCCATGCATGACACCGGCGCGGACACACCAAAAAATTATGAATGTTCGTGAAATGCGCCTTAAAGTGGAACCGTTTCAAAATCGAGTGTTTTCCTTGACTTCTGCAAAGGGCATTGAAAAGACCAAAACTTAATCAGTTTGCTCATATTCCTCGGATATTTTACTTCCTTTCCTGTCTGCTCTTCCAGTGTTTTGTCTGTGTTTTATTCACTACTTGGTGTCCATCTTGACGGAGCTTTGACATAAAAAGCACCCAATTCTTGTTCGTAGCCCAAACATCAGGCAGATATTTTGTCTGCATTTAAACAGGTCAGCAAGTGAACTTTGTCAGGATATTCGGCTACTGGACCAAGAAATGGAATGTTTTAAAAGTGTACCCTGAGTGTTTCACTACATGTCATAACAGTGTTCCATGATATTGTGATTTTTCTGAAATGTTCACCTTTGTCTCAACGGCAATCGCCTTGCATATCAACTTTATTTTGCACAACGAATTAGAGTTACCTGCCCTTGTTATCCTGAGCGCCGGGAGAAAAGAAAAATGGCAACAGCCGGAAGGCGGAGAATTACAAATCGCAAAGCTGGGGCTACTGGAGACCCGGTAGGTTCTTATAAGGAGTACGATATCATTGTTAACTAATAGTTGTCGGGGGAATTTGTGCGTGAAAATTGTAGGACATTACGCCTAATAAATCACAACCGATATCCCAATCCCATCTCCCCGACATAACCCCAATCCCATCCGTAACCAGCCTATGCCTATATATCATTATATACCGAGTAGAGTCGAAATGAAATTCATTAATTTATTACGATTTCAGAGAACTGAATTCTGTTGATATTGGATCTGCATGGGGAAAGTGTCTCGGGGCAGATGATAGGCCTACATGGACTCCTGAATTATATCCTGTCCGGATATTAGACGACACAGAAACTCCATTTCATAGTAACTGTCAAATTAGATGTTTTCAATTTATTAATTCCAGTTGAAACTTATCTTAAGTCAGAGTTAAATCGGAATTAACAATATCTATATAAAGCCCTGAGAATGACATTTGGTAAATATGATGTGTATATCAATGAAATATTTAACAGTGTTTTTCACTGCATCATTATAACCTTCTACTTTCAATCATACTGCTTTCGAGATCTGTAGACAGAACTTTGAATGAATTTGGAAATTCCCTCTAAATCATATTTACAATATAAAAATATAACCACATATTTATAATTTGCTAGTTTTATTTTGATTTTATGATGCCTTCGCCATTAAATAGGGGGTGAGGAGGGAGGGGGATCAAGCGTTGCACCCATGTCCATCTGTCTGCCACGTTGTACCCTGTACCAAGTCAATATATATAGCAATCCAGTCATTATAAGGTAGCAGAGACATTTTTATAGTTCTACATCATATAAATATTTTTGTATACTATATAATTCCATTTCTGTTACAGGTTGGGGTAGAAAATATGATTGATAGAAGAAGATAAATTGAAACTGAAAACAACCCTCAGGCTCTGGAGGATCTAGGTGTTCTTATCAAAGAATACCTTACTGTTGATACCAAGATTGACAGTTTTGTATGCCTGAGGATTTCATTAGTTGGAAAAGATTTTGAAATATTAAGAGATGTTGCTTTTGTCCACAAAGTGACAAGATCTAGGACCACATATACTATTTCATCCAGATTTATGTTGTCCAAAATTTTCAGGAAAACTTGGAACTACCGTGTGTTTGAAATTCTATTTAAGAGTACAAAGAGATTTGAGAGAATATGAAATGAAGAAGAAACCTGAGAGTGATCAACTGGAATTAAAAGCTTGTTCAAATTCTAGAGGAACACAGCTAGTGTTTACTTTTGTTAAGTGTGCCAGCAACCACAGAATGTTGCCATATATCCTTAATGACTCCTTACTTTAAATAATCAAAAGACTTCAGTTTTTATGACTTTGTTGGTTAGAAATCTTAGTTATACTATCATAGAAAATGATTGTAATTTCTAGAGAAATTTTGTATGAGATTTTATCATTAGATCAGTTTTGGAAGAAAGCTTTAGATCTAAAAACAGTGGAACAAATTTCTTTAGCTGTGCAAGAGCATTGTACACTTAAACTTTTGCTAAATGACCTTAGTCTTAAATATTCAAGAGCGGAGCTTTTCAGATTAAAGACAAAGGCTTTGAAAGCGAAAGTAAAGGATGGGAATCAGATCAAGAAGTTTAAGGAGGGACTCTGGTTTTCATAATATAGTTGGGATGTCATGGTTGACAAGGAAGAGACACAATTAATGGTTGAGACAATAAAGGCAGTCGGTCAGAGGCAGAAGAAAAGGAAAAAGAAAACACTGACTTGAGAAAAAATTTATGTAAGTTTAGTTTAGCAACAAAAACTCAAGAAATGAAAAAACATTGAAGCACAAACCATTCACGGAATGTACGCCTGGGTATCAATCAAAACTTAGGAAACGAGACACAGATAAGTGTAGAATAGCATTGAGTTTTCTTACAGAAAATGGGGTTACTCCTTTTTCAGTTACAGTTATGAGAAATAACAAAGAAGAGGTTTTGAAACATTTTGATCATGAGTCTAAAGAAAATTCAGAGTTGAATCAAAATTTTGATGACATAAATACCCTCATATACATCTTGGATACTTTCAATATTAGTAATGAAGCATAGCATGATTTGAGTGTGTTATTTAAAGCACTTCCAAGAAATTATGCTATCAGTAAGATTATGGCTGAATTAAATTCTAAGTTCAATATTGAAATTACTCCAGATGGTCTTGGTGTTCAACAATCTCTGAAAAAACACTTGGTAAACATGTTGTGTAATATATTAGATATGAACAAAAACTTTGCACCAGATGGAGACATCAGAATTAAAATTTCTAGGGATGGCACTATTGTAGAAAAGAGAGTTCATGTTGTAAATGTGACTTTTACCATTATCAATGAAAACAGGTGTGCTTCTGCGCAGGGTAACTACCCATTAGCTATTATTAGAACAAAAGAGAAATATCAAGACCTTGACATTGGTCTACATGACCTCAGAAAAGAAGTAGGCCAGTTACAGGGAACTACACTGACAGTCAATGAAAGAAATTTCAAAGTTGAAATAATGTTTGGGGGTGGTTACAAATTTTTTTTGGTAGTTTGTGGAATACCTTCAATTGCTTGCCAACACTTTTGCCTTTACTGCAAATGTAACAAAACTGAGGAATTAGATCTGTCAAAGACTTGGTCTATGGATAATACTACACAAGGGGCTAGGCTTGAATACAAGTACAATGACATACAAGGGCAAAATATGTCCTAGGGAAAAAGGAGAAAAAATGCCAATAATTGTTTCTCTGTGTCAAACAAACCTTTATTCCCTACAATTTCACCCCACTGTGTTGTGATTGATCACCTTCACATGTTTTTACGCATTGCTGGCAAGTTATTTAATCTTCTTGTCACTGATTTTAGGTGCATGGAAAACATAACAGAAAGTTCAACTTTTACCTCTACAGTGCAAGATAAAGATAAGTTAAAGAATGTCTTGAAGCTCAAAAATGTGTTGTAAATGTTGGGAATACATTTTGAACTTGGTGTACAGGTTGATAGTAAAAAGTTAGAGTATCGTGAGCTCACTGGTCCAGAGAAACTTTTGCTGCTTGAATGTTTTGATGCAGCTGAGTTTTCTAATGACCAAAATAAAGCTGTTCAGATTCAGAAGTTGTGGGATGGGTTTAGAGAGCTGAACATGTGTATTAAATCTGACACCCCAGATTCTGATGACATAGAATACAAAGCAAAGTTGTGGTGTGACTTGTACATAAGCTGTTATCAAGCCAAAGATCTCACCCAGTACATTCATAATCTTAGGTATGATGTAGGTGAACTCATCAGAAAACATGGTGCTATTGTCCAATACAGCAAACAGGGCTTAGAAAAGCTCAGCAACATTGTAACAAAGCAGTTTTTCAGAGGCACTTCTCACAAAGGTACATGTGTGCTTAAACAAGTGTTGGAAAAGCAAAACCGACTCACAATTCTCTCACATAAAAAGAGAGTAAAGGAGAGAAGAATGTGTTGGAAATGTGTGGCCACTGACCATAACTCCAAAACCTGTCATGCCAAATGAATATTGAATTTATAAAAAAAAAACGTTTGTTGTCAGGAGATCAAATTTTTTATTGCATTGTGAATCTGGTTCTAGGCGGGTAATTTGCATGGTGCATCTCCATTCATAATGGTATTTTACATTAGATATAGATATCCATTCAAAATGGTATTGCTTTCTAGATATTGATTGGATAATCCAATTTGAATTGCATTAATTGTATAATGCACATTTAAATATTGTTGG